AGTAACTGTAGCTATCAAATAAATGTAGCTTGAGTAGAATGCACAGTATTTCCCTCTCAGTATAAAGTAGCACAAAATGGAAATACCCAAAGTACAAGTACATCAAATTTGTAATTAAGTACAGTAGCTACTTGAGTAAATATACTTAGTTACTGTCCATCACTGCATTTGTCTCATCATTATGCTTTCTGTCTACATTTTTATGGAGACGTGACAGTTTACTTGGTGCACCTAGAAAAAACAACAGCAGTTTAATATTCAGTCTGACATTTTATTGGAGTGTTGAGTTGTAGATTGTGGTGCTGTTGAACTGTACTGGATTACACTGACAGCAGTTTGTCATTTAGTCTGTCCTCACCGATATAAATGGATCAAACAGGTCAGATGTTCAGAGGAGAAGTTTATTCAGACATCAGGTACACAATTCATATCAGATAATCAATATTTAAAATGCTGTTGAATAAATACTACAATAAAGACAATTAATCTTTAAATACAATAAATAAATTACAATAAATTCTTAAAATCATTATTGAATGGTAAAAACACATAAATAAGCAAAAGAATACAAAGAACATTTAATAATATAATAATATATCTTATATAGTGAGACTGAATGTTGACAATTAGATATTCCCCAAACGAATTACATGTCATATTTAACCACTACAGAGATATCAGTGACGAGTTTAACCCTATGGGCCCGAACGACGCATAGTGCGTCCAAATTCACACCCGTTCTTCTCTGTGGATTTTCTCCGGGCTTCTCCGTGCGTCATAGTGAGAAGCCACGCATATCACGTGAAACAGCGGAACTGTAGCTTTCCGAGAAGGCCAAGCACTTGTCGGTAGTTCAATGTTTTCACAGCGAAAAAAAAATGATAAATTTACACTAAAATTATGTATAACAGAGCTTTCATACAGATTTGCACACACATTACTCTTGGATGGATTACTCGCGAATGCAGCATCGCACAGACGTGCCACTCATATCACATGAAAGCGCAGGAGCAGAGCTTTCCAGTGATACCACACACATCATTGTGCTGTCATCCCATCACGCTATAAATACAGATCAATTGTCTACAAAATAAAATCCTGACGAATTTCTTTACAACCCATTATACAGATCTTGTTATCAGTCACTTCATATAGTGAGGAATATCGTATCTTACCACGTCTTAGGCTTGTGTGTGTTTCTCCCTGTCTATCCACATTTGTAGTCCAGCTTTCAAGATGCAAATATCTCCATATTGTCCAGTTGACACTCCATCAAACTTTGTATGACAAGACCAGCCACTTCACCTTTGCGCACCCAGACAACTGCAGCCTAATTATGCATGCTGACAGGGCCGTAGTCACCATATACATTGAGGGGGACACGTAGTGCCATACACATGTTTATTATCTGTGAGCACTGACACCGCTGTCATCTAGCGGACCTCACATTCAGCTGGGCTCTGTGTTAAAACATCGACCACGGGTCTGAAGTTTAAACTACGCATGAAAACACTACGTTCTGTGACAAAACAACAGTCACATATCAGTAATTACATCTTTCCCTCTCTGGCCATTTCCAATGATTGCTGCGAAATGCATGCTGGGATACCTGGCTGTCTGAAGTCCACACAAGTCTGCTCCGATGCGTCCCTGGGGGAAATGGGTGTGGCGAGAACACATCTGGGAATTTGGACTGAACTTGGCCAGATGTGAACTTTGAATTGGAACAGAACTTGGGCTGTGACTGATGACGTGTCACAAGTCCACAAGAACACAAGTCTGCACAAGAACACATATTGAGAAGTGGCTCCAGTCTTTTATTTTGTTAATTTTATTTTGTCCCTCAGCTTCCTGTTTCCTGTTGTCTTTACATTCTGATTGGCTGAGATGACAGAGGTGATGAATACCCGCGACTCAACGGTGGGCGGAGCTTCAGGAGAGGATGTACTGGCTCTGCAGGTGAAGCACACACACACACACACACACACACACACACACACACACACACGATGTGAGCTCAGAGACTCCAACAGGTGAGTCCTCCTGAAGTCACCAAGCTCTCTGATTGGTTTCCTCCTCCTCCTCTTCCTCCTCCTCCTCTTCCTCCTCCAGGTGGACTGTTTTCCCAAACTCTCCAGGCGTCTGCCCTCCATCGTGGTGGAGCAGACAGATGGAGGACAGGTGGAAAGCGGCGAGCTCCGCTGGCCTCCTGATGATGTCAGCTGTGATGTCAGAGAAGGCCACACCCAGAAGACAGGTGAGGTCGTCCGACGTTAGAGGAAGATTCATTGTCATCACAAAGTATTGACTGACTTATTGTCACAGTTTGATTGATCAGCAATAATCAGTAATTTTTCTTTTCATTGTAAATAATCAGTGATTGATTATCAATAATCACTTATAATCAATAATCAGTGTACCTGAGCCAGAGTGAGCGACATCATCAGGTGTTTATTTCTTAGGTGTACCTGTGGAGGAGGCGGGGCCAGAGGAGCAGGTTATGGGCGGAGTTTAAAACCTCTGACTGACGTGGCTTCTTCTTCAGCCAATCAGTGTGAAGGACTTTGTGATGCGGGGCGCGGCTAACTCCGCCGTAACCCCACCCCCAGATCAGGGGGCGGAGTCAGACCAGGACACCCTGAGCCAATCCATGAGGAGAAATTAAATTTTAAAAAGTTTGAGGGGGCGATGGGCCCCAGAGGATTCTGGGACGATGACCTGCGTATATTATGTTATATTACTGACGCTGTGATCCACGATCACACACTATGTTGACTTTATAAACTTTATTAAAACTTATTAAATTAACAAACATTAAAATAATCTCACGTGTTTATATTTACGTGATTATAATATTTTAGGTCACTGTACGTTAAGAGACGCATCAGAACAAGAACCATCTTGAACCTGTGACGTCAGTGTTTTGTTGAGCAGGTGTGTAAACGCGCCGCAGCCTCAGACCTCATTTACATCACAAACGATGGGTTTGCGTAACACTCGCGGACGGTCGCTGTGTACTCGCGTTTTCATTTCATGTTAACATGTTAGAGCATTCACACCGCATCCATTCTAGCCGCTGCTCGAGTTGCGCTGCTTTCGCGAGCAAGCTCGAAAATAGAAGAGACGCCGATTTTTTGTGCGAGTCGTGAGACAATGGTCACTGTATTCAACAAAAAAATCAACCTCTCCGGTGGCTGAGAGAGGTCACAACACACACAAACACGTGTTTAGTAGTTATTCAAAGCAGACAAAGACTACTTACACATTTGTAGTGCTAAATATTAATTATCCAAGCGTTGGAATAATCACTGGCGTGCGGACCTGTCCACCCTGGGCTTTGGTTTATCGGAGATTTGCAAACACAGTGCTCTGTCGCCACCAATTGCTCAGGTGTGGTTTGTATTTTGACGGGACAGCAGCGGCCACTGCACGACGTGTCTGTTCGGTTTTGGTGTGAATACACGTGTGCTGCCGCTACGCTTCTGGAACGCTTCACGAACGCATTGCTCGCGGTGTAAATGAGGCCTCAGATGTCAGTGTGTGTGTGTTAAACTGCTTTGAGTGGTCGCAGGAAAAGTGTGACTCTGTTTACTTAAAGGGAGAGTTTGGGTTTTTTTTAGCAGCGGGGCTGAATGAGGTACAGCCAGCAGGTGGCGCTCTGCAGAAACAGAAGTCAGCTGTTTCCTGATGTGGATTCAGGTTCACGACAAAACAGATTTTAGTCATTTAAAGGTGCGGACACACCAAACCGACATCAAAGAACTAGCGGCGACGAAAGCCAACTGTTGCGTCGTCTACGTCGCCTCACGTCGCCCTGTGTCAGTTGCATTTGAACACACTACACGGACTACATCCGACGGCCAAGCAGCACGTACGTTCTGCGCCTGCGTGAGAGAGAGCGGAGTGAGAGAGTGGTACATCCTGTCAGCCGAGGGGTTTCCTATCTGTGCAGCCGAGCACCGCAGCACCTCCACGGACTATTACATCCAGACGGTCCCGGTGTTTCCTCCACAGGCTCCACTTCACTCAGCTGCCCGATAAACCCGCTGCTTCTTCCCACTTTAACCTGAATAACAAACCAGGGCTCGGTGCTCCAGTTGGATCCAAACGGAGAGCCGGGGCTAGCTCAGAGACTAGCGGAGGCTAACTGGCTGTGCTTCCCTCCGGTCATGCTGCGGCTAATGCTCCGCTAGCCGCTCCCAGCTAGCTCCGGTTTGTTATTCAGGTTAAAGTGTGAAGAAGCAGCGGGTCTGTGGGGCAGCTGAGTGAAGTGGAGCCTGAGGAGGAAGCACCGGTTAGCCCCGGTTTCACTACAGGCAGATTCACTCGCTACAGGGGCGAGGAAATAAAACCTGAACAGCCAATCAGAGTGATCTCTCTCACCGACAAGCTCCACCGCCAATTCAACATTCAATCGGCCGAAAAGCCGCCGACGGTGCGGGACAGGCCGCAAAAACTAGGCCGACAGACGCTCACTGACGGCCCGACTTTGGTCGACGGCCGACCGTCAGCTTGGTGTGTCAGGACCTTTACAGACGTTTGCACTGCAGTGACAGATCAGAGTATCTACAGGGCAACTCAGTTTTTGAGGCTCAAATGAAACGTCAGTGACCATCAGCGTGCATGAAATCAGTTTATTACAAATGACAGAGTGATAGAAAGAAATCCTGTTGATGATGAACACATGAATGTCCAGCAGAAGGTCTGAGAACAGGAAACACACACACAGTCATTATCAACACTTCCTACAGTCACATGCACTGGAACACAACCAGTTACCTGGAGCAGCAGCAGTTACATCATCACAGCCATGGCCAATCGGGCTCGCAGGTGATGAATCGATACATTCTCATTGGCTGCAGAGCATGAAAACACCATGACCGTCAAAATAAAAGCCCGAAGAATCTCAGCTGTGGGTGTTTGTCAAATGAAAAAGTGCACATTTGGTGAACTCGCCTCAAACTCTCACCTGCCTCGAGCTACAGGAAGCATGCACTCTTCAAAATAAAAGTTACTTTACAGCAACAGCCCTCCCGTCGTCCGTCCTCATGTTTCAGACAGATGTCAGGAGAGCTACGCTAGCAGTTTCCCTTCACTTCCAGTCTTTGTGCTAAGCTAGGCTAACTGCATCCTGGACATGATGAAGGTGGTCTCTGAAACACGTGAAGAAGCAGAGGACAACTGACGGGAGGACTGATCTGTCTTACTTACATCTGCACACACACACACACACACACACACACACACACTGAGCAGGTGAATAAATACTTTATTAAACGTGATGGTTTTTATGACACCGTGTCCCGACAGCGAGCGTCATCATCACAGCTCTCATCTCGAGATCACATTCGAGACGTGAACTCTTAAAAGACGAGCCAGGACTTTGTGTCTTCATAAGTTTTTACTTTTTATTTAGTGACATTAAGTGGAGATGACAAACAGCCGTCAGCAGGCAGGTCGTTATCAGCGATGACACGTTCAGCTCCCTGCTGATCTCCCTCCTCTCAGCTGACACCTCCTTTAAGTTTCTGTGGTGACATGAGGAGGAGTCCTGTTGATCATTTCTCATTTAAATGTCATGAATCAGCTGATCTACGCTCACTGTGGCGCTCTCAAAGTGAGCGACAGGAACAAACAGACACGTGATGTCTGACAAAAGTTCATGTCTAAACTGCATCGCTGCTTCTCTCGGTCTGTTCACGTTCAGTCAGGACACGGTGACACACGAGTTCATCATTGAACCTGGAAACTAAATAATCTGACATGGAGAGCTTTCAGCCACATCACATGGTCTTCCTCAGGGAGCGAAGTTTGATCTTAGAGACGGATCAGACGGCCTATGTTACATATGTGAAGCGAGTTCGGTACACGTAGGTGGAAGCAGCTTTGGGGGCCATTATTTAACACCTGATCCCAGCGCGCCCACATCAGGTGTAAACTTTCACCAGTCCTGACGTGTGTGCAGCGTCATGAGTTTCACCTTCAGATTCATTTCAGAGCCAGTAACAATAACTCCTTCACTTCCTGTAAGACCTTCGTGACTTCCTTCACTTCGTGCTCTGACGAAATGATGTAACTTGTGAAATCTTGCTTGTGTCGTCATGTTTGATACGTGATTGCTTTTTTGTTTACTTGTACGTAACATGATGTTTGAGTGTTTATCATATTACATAGCTGTTTGTTTCAGCTGTCTGATTTATGTGTTCTTCCCTGGGACGACTGATGGGGATTGGGATCCAACGCTTGATCAGTGACTTCTGGCGCCAGACACCAACAAACAAAGTCATCCTTTCACGTCGGTATGACACACAGCCGTTACCGTGTCATGCTGCCCGGCAGCGTCAGGGGACAAACACCTGGGTTAATGGGGCCGCAGTGGGGCGGGCGGCGGATGAGTCCAACAACCACTGACTTTCATGTTCTTCCTAAACATAACCAGGTGTGTTTGTTGTTGAAGGAAAAAAACTACGTTGTACTGACGTAGTGCTTTTATTTTGAAAGAGACTGTATCAAACTGTACACTTCCTGTGAAAACAGAAGTGTATTTTGAAAACAGACAATGCATGTAACAGGCTGAAGTTGACACGGCGTCCCAGAACGTCAACAACCAACACACCCAGGGTACCTTGGACGTCATATGTGGACGTGGAAAGTCCATGACCAAACGTGGACATGTGACGAGGTCACAGTGAGGATGATGATGGAGGATCCTAATAAACTAACCTAGAGATCAAATCACAACATTTGTATACAGTAACCTCCAGGTAGGAAATCACAGCGTCATGTTCGTATACGGCGCTGAGCAGACGCTGCTTCAACTGATTTGTTTTTACCCACCTAGAAAACAAATTAATATCCGTTTAAATGTTCACTGTCTAGAATATTTTCACCTCACCACCTCGCTGTCAGACGACCTGACGGAGAACTGAAGCCGTTATCTCAGAGCCTCCACACCGCACTGACATCATCATTTCACTTGACAGAAACGAGCTGCCTCCATCAGGCAGTGTGGAGGATAAGGTGGAGAAAATATTCAAATATAAGCTTCACTTACACTGATGTGAATTTTTCAGGTGGCTAAACTACATTTAGCTGCGGCTCCGTCCACAGCAGGACACTGTTCAGCCTCTGTGACGTAGGTCTGCTTCATCAGCAATAATCATGTCAGGTCGGACCTCCTGTTTAACGACACATCTTTAAACATGACAGTTACAGCTGAAAATAACGACAGAAATATCTGCTGATTTGACAGGTGGAAGTGTAGCTCGGTGAAGACTGAGAGACGAGGCTGAAAGCTCTGGAACTGAAGATTCTATCGGTCACATTGTTCCGACGCTGTCGACCTTTAAACTGAAACATTCTTTGATTATTAATTATTTTATTCTCACTTCTTCTGTTGGTTTGAACTCAGGTGTGTCGTCGTCATTATCAGACCTGATCTGACTCTTCCTTTTTTAATGGGTTAAATTCACGGCTCATTCGTTCTCACTGGGCCGTTGGTCATTTTAATTCTCCTCCTTAATGTTTATAGCTGTGTTTTCGGACGTCAGCTGTGTCCACATGTTGTTCGTATGACATGAGCTGCCCACAGTTCATCACAGTTCTGCCTGCTGACAGCTGTTTTATATCAAACTGGAAACTGAGGTCATTTGGACCTGTTGTCAGTCTGAACAGAGTTCAGTCTTCACAGGAAAATGATGGAGCTTTACATTTCTGTGAAACTCAGATATGTTACATTCGTAGCTTTTGTACATTAGAATCATATCGATATTTCTGAAGTGACTTAGTGTCTGAGCCGGCTCCATCAGGAGGTGGAGGGTGGACACTGTTCAACACCAACAAACAACTAAACCAGCGGTGTTTTATGTGTTATCATTGTGTGTCCTGTCGACGACTTTACCCCCAAAACTACAACGTCGTTGAAACGTTAAAATGTTTCATCACATCTACGACATAAAACTGTACAACTGTGACATATCGACTAAAAAAGAACGTACAAATAAAACGTAAAAGCTACATAACGTAACGTATCCACGACATAACGTACAATCATAATGTATCCACTTCACAGCAACATACAAATGTAACGTATCCACGACAAAGTAACATATAAACAAAACATATTTGTGACATAATGTAACGTATCTTCAACATAATAACATACAAACGTTTAATTGTAACATATCTGTGTTTTGCAGAAACGTACAATGCTAACATTTCTCCTGGTGACTGGGCTGAATATAAAATCTGTTCCCAAGGTTTCGTGTCTGTGAATGAAGTCCGGCTGAGATATGAACGGCTCTGTCGGTCAGTAAGGCTCGGAGTTAACAGACGTACGACTGACGGCAGATGAACATGAAGAAGAAGGAGAAGAAGAAGAAGAAGAAGAATGATCCGACTGTGCTGACGCTGCAGTTTGTTTCATCATGTTGGATTTTTAAAAAACTGTGGACAGAATAATTTTAACTTGGCATCTCGTAGCTACGCGGTCGTTACCTGATAACTATAAAAGCTTTATGAGGTGGATATGAGGCTGAACGTTACTGACTGGAGTCCATGTGTTCGGCTCTCGGCTGATGTGTTCAGTGTGTATGAGCTCGGCAGACATTCGGCACTCACGACATTCAGCCATCCTGAAGCAGGTTCACAGTTATCGCACAATCACAGCGAGATGGCAAAGAAACATTCAGTAAAATATAACATTACATCTCTTTTACTCTGACAGACGGCGGCTTCCTGTCTGTGAGCAGCGGCACACAGGAAACTGTTCAAATGCAACAACAGATTATCAAAGCACAGAGTTTATACATCATCCACGGACTACTGCGGCGCCAGCAGCGGCTGCTGTTGTAGCGTTCACTAAATGTTGCTCAGCTTGTGCGATGTGGAAGCAGTCCTACGTACGGTTAAATGCATCGGAATCACTGGAGACAATGACACGTTAGATTTGGACAGTTGGGTGGATCCACACCACCAGCAGGGACAAAGACCTCAGACAGACCCCACAGCTGTGTCTCAGTCCTCACTACACTGGACGGATGGACTCTGATGTCCTGCAGATTAACGCCAGGCAGAGACTTAAATCCAATCACAATGAAATTTCCGACTCATTTTACAATAATCAAGTCTGATGATAAAAACATGAACAGACATCAGAGACTTCAAGGAAAATCCTGCCTGAAAATTTATGAGAACATAAAACAGGATGTCCTCGTGGCGTGGAGGAAACACACACCTGCTGTTTGTTGGCCAGGTTGTTTTTTTGATTCCCATCATGCTGAGTTCAAAAACTTTTTGCAAAAAATACACTGAGCCTCGTATGTTTCAGCCCCACTGCCATCTTCGTTAATAGATGGTTTTAATCCTAACGTGGAAACATGGCGCCCACCCTCCGGTCTCCACTGCTTAGCTAACGTTAGCCTTAGCTGCCCTGCGCTGTGCACCAACAGGGTCAGGTGGGAGCTAGCTAGCGTTGCTGCTCATTTGTGATACTACTGGTAACTACTACTGGTAACAGACCGACATGTGTAAGTGGTCAGAAATGTTCTCTGCGGTCAGCTGATTAACAGTGGCGTTGGCAGGCGATGGTTGCTCATGTGTGACGGCGCCTTTTATTTAAACAGTGTTTGGACAACGTTTAACGTTTGAAGCCTGTGGCGTCTTCTGTTGGATAGAATAAAGATTTCTGAAAACGCTGCTACGTCTGTCAGGAGCTCTTATCGGCAGCAGCGTCAGTCTGACTGACCTCCACGCTGCTGGTTTAAAATCACTTCCTGTGTACAAATACTACGACCCGAGTGTTGTACATGCTGCAGACTGTCCTGGACGTAGTGTGGAACTGGGACACAGCATTAATGTGGGACACTGAGGACCAAAGAAACTGTGTCCTCTGAATATGGACAAATATAAACACACACTTTAAAGAGGCGTCGCTCTGAAACAGGAAACGGTTTAAATACCACAGAGACTTCCTGCTGATGAACACGACGACATCTCTGTCTCCACGCTGCCAACGGCGCAACAAAGGTTAATGTAGAGATCTTCTGTCTGTCTGAGTGCTACGGAGCGTTGGACGTTGGACAGAGGACGGCGAGGTGGCTGCAGGCGGTGTGGACACACAGTCACTATCCAGAGGTGCTACGGTGGCCTGCTCAGGCCATGTAGTGGGACCCGTCGGGTCCACGAGGTGGTCTTTTGGTGCTTTCGTTGGCGTTGGAGGTCGAGGAGGCGCCACGGGGTTTGGTGGCAGGTTTCTTCTCCCTCGAGGACGGTCGAGTCTGACCACGTGGTGACGTCCCAACAGTTGTAGACTGGAGGCCGCCACTGGGCTCCACGATGGTGTTTATCACTACGGCAAGAAGAAGAGGACATTCATGACATCACCAGTCCCCCAGAAAACCCTGAGCTTCAGAAACATCCTTCATTCTGGAGACGTTTAAAAATGAAAAGAATAAAATAATTAAAACAGGAAAAGAAGTCGCACATCAGCAACACGATCACATTTCTGCCTCCATGCTGCTCTCTGTGGTTTACTAACCTGTTGTCTGTCACGCTGAACGTGACACACCAGAAAACAAAACACACAGTAAGGTAAACCGTCTGCTGCAGAGACATGAGGACGGCTCCTGTTTACTGAGGAAACAGTTTATGTCTTATTTTTACCAGATCTTTCTGTGTTTAAAAATCTGCGTACCTGAGATCAATCAGGTGTGAGCAGCGTTTCAGGGTTCAGGTCAAACAGAGCAGAGATGTGACGTGGTCACAACTCGTACCGCTGCTTTGTCGGTCGACCTAAATGTCAAAACATGATGCCTGCACGTTCCCTCCTGTGTTCAGGGACGGTGTGTCAACTGACGCTTGTTACATGCATCGTGTCTTTTCAAAATAAACTTCACAGGAAGTGTACAGTTTCTGCACTGTGGATGCAGACAGTCCTTTTCAAAATAAACTAACAATGTAGTTTAACACTTTGCTTTTATATTTGTGTCCTGAGGTTTAGGAAACAAATGTCTGCAGTGAGTTACATATCAGCAGCATTCAGCGAAAAGAAAATATGAAAATTACCATTCCCACTAAAATCAAGACACATCTGATATCTGTCAAAATAATCACTAAATACATACATATACATATATACATATATATATATATATATATACATACATATATATATATATGTATGTATATATATACATATATTTCGCGTATCACGCAGCCCCAGTCGCTGTGATGAAATAAAGTTGGATATAAAAACTGTGTTTGTCCTTGAACGCACCTTCCAGCTGCCTCTGGACTCTCCTCAGCTCCTTCAGGATGGAGGTAATTTCCTGCAACATGAGACGAGAGAATGTTTGAGCTGCGCTGACATCACATCCTGACTGTTATACAGAATTATCAAAATATCTGCAGGGGCGTGGGTAGAGTAGTGGATAGTGCCGGCGCCCCATGTACAGAAGCAATGCCAGCTCAAGCGGGTTCGAATCCAGCTCGCAGCCCTCTGCTGCATGTCAGTCCCCACTCTCTCTCTCTGTCTCCCCATTTCACTCTCTGTCCTGTCATTAAAGGCAAAAAGCCCACAAAAATAATCCAAAAAAAAAAAAAAAAAAGTCTGCAGAGGAACCTTGTTGGAGGTTTTCAGGATGGGGACTTCATTCTCAGCGTTGATCTTTGCCTCGATCTCCTCCCAGACCTCCGCCTTGTTCTGGAACAGAACCCTGAGAACAGAAAAACACTGCAGGGTCAGAACGAAGGAACAACACTGAACACACACAACGAGAACCTGTGACATCACCGTCCAGGTGATATGGGTATATAATATGTTTCCCTGATGTTAGCATGTAGCTACGTGTAGCAGTGAATTAATGTTCCCCTGATGTTAGCATGTAGCTACATGTAGCAGTGTATGTAATGTTTCCCTGATGTTAGCATGTAGCTACGTGTAGCAGTGAATGTAATGTTTCCCTGATGTTAGCATGTAGCTACATGTAGCAGAGTAAACCTACATTCACTGCTACAGTGTGAGTGCCATAAAGGGCTCCCTTACTTCATTTTTTCAGCCAGCTGCTCCGTGTTCTCTCGGATGGCCTGAGACAGCTGAGACACTGGATTCAGCATCAGGTTGTCCAGAATCACCTGAAAGAGTTGATGGAGTCAGTAACGTGACATCATCGCTGACATCAGCAGAACTTTACAGCCTGATTTCCCAGCACACCAAAACTAACTGCAGCAGCTGCAGTCTCCTTCACTCTGTTCAATGAGGACACGTTCACACTGCAGCTCAGCTCCGCTTTGTCTGCTCACCTCTCTGGGGGCGGGGCCTGAGTGCGCTGATGCTAACCTCGCTGTCAGGGAAACAAACGTCTGAACACTGACCACCTCACTGATCCCACTCTGCTCCCTCTAGATCAGTCCCTCCAGGACTTCGCCAGGTGTTTTTGGGATTGTTGCATCAACTGATGGATCAGCTGATTGATCTCATGATTCCTTTCTATCTCATTCAGGGCGCCATATTTAAACTGCTCTGCCCCGCCTACTACTGCTGCTTCCTCTGCAAACCACTTCACAACCCGCCTCCACCCCTGCTTTCGTGCTGCTCTGTTCTGTTCCCGGGGTCTTTGCTGCTGCTCTACCTGCATGGAAGGACAGAGAGGATTGTTCTCTGCCTTAAGGCTTTCTGCGTAGACCAAGGAAAAGCAGAGAGGCCCCAGCACAGAGCCATACCACTGAATATAATACTGCAAATGTAAATAAAGTTTCTTTGAATAAAGCATCCTGACTGGACAAATTTGCAAAGTTGTGCAGAATCACAGGGACTGGCTGAATTTGCTTCACTTGTTGCCATGGTAACATCCTGGAGGGACTGACTCAGTGATCTTTCCTCTGGCGCCACCATGAGGACAAACTTTACGTCGTTAGCTCCACTTTGGGGAACACTGCTTTGTGTTCTGGAGGTAATGAAGAGTTCAGCCTCCAGGGGGCACTATGGTGTCTGTCTGTGTGTCTTTAGGAAACAGGAAGTATTGGAAACCTGTTCATGTGGTGAATAGTTGCAAGGCTGGTTGATAAATACTGCGCTAACAGGTGAGATCTACCTGGAACCAGGTTCAACACATCGATCTAAACTGAAGAGACAAACACTGAAACATTCAGATAAACTTTGAGCTGCAGTGTGAACCGTCCTCAGTGGGATTAGACAGTGACCTCTTCGCGGTTCCACGGACGGCGTTGCTTAGAACCGGGCTCGGGCTCATTCATGTTTGCGTCCAGGTCCGAGACGACAGCAGAACCTGGAGGAACCTTCTGGTAGTTTAAACTGGCCTCAGGGATATGTTGGACCAGCTGGAAAGAGAGTAAAGGGAGTCGGGCTCCGGTGATCCAACCACTGAATGTTTGTCATCAAACCAGCGAGCAGCCGGCCGGTGATGGCGGCGCTCCGTGAACGCATGCACCAAGTCAACATGCAGCTGCGATGGTGGAGGGCAACAGTGTATGCAGTGAATTTTAGTACTGCTGGGATACAGCGTGTTAACATCAACAGGGGGACACAGGGGTGCAGGAGGGTCCGACTGGTCACCAGCTACAGCTCCATGAACTGTAACCCCATACCAGTTACACCAGTTCATCAGTGGTGCAGGGCGATGGAAGTTTATTAATGGCAAAACTACTGAGCGAGCACAAAGTCAACGTGAGCAGGAATCAGTCTGAAAAAATTTTAAAGGTGCGATGTGTACCACCTTGGATAGGGGGCAGCACTGAGTCCAAACACTCATCAGTTATTAAAAAAGAAAGCACAGCACGAGGAGCTTCACAGAGAAGGTGACACTGTGCAGGGCTGTAAACTCATCGTTCATCTGTGAAATTCACACTCGAACTGTCCGGCAGCAGGCGTCTGTCAGTGAACGCATCACCAGGCCAAACACTGTTGATGAGGTCAGCTCAGTTTTTACGTGTTTTAAACTTAAATCTGTCCACGTCACACACATCACATCTTTAATGACCCATTTTTATTCAATGCAAATCTAAAGAATGACTGATGTAATACCATGGCCATACAAAAATATTCTGATCCGTTACTATGGTTACACGATCAGCTGATATTCTACTCTGACATATGTCACAGGGCTGGATGTATTGGCGTAGCTTCCAGTAGAGCTGGGTAATAAAGGAGAGCAGGGTGGAGTCACGTAAAGTTGGGTTGGGGTTTGAAAAAGGTGGAGCTGGGTCAGAGTTTGGGTACAGTGAGGTGGTGTCGGGTCAGGTTAAAGAGTGTGGGTGGAGCAGGGTCAGAGAGGAAAGGTCTCAGACTGGCTGAGGTAGGGCAGGGTTGGGTCAGGGTCCTGAACGGGTACACCTGTTTGTGGTAGCATTTAAAAGCTCAACCCTGAAGTTGTGAAGTCTGTGAGCGGAGCTAGCTGCTAACAGCCACCACTGCAGCTGCAGCTGTGGCTGATTATTTACTGCTGAATTACAGCTCACAGCTCGCACCAACCCAAACATCCTGGTGCAGACTATTTACTGGAGTTTACAGCCTGTCGCTCATCAGGCATCTGAAGATCATTACAAGCTGTCAGTGTCCGACAGTCCACCACCAACATTTACATCACGTCTCGTCAGCAAATATTAAACATAGATTTCATCTTATTTTCTATTATCAGGATCTATTTGTAGCTCGTCATCGTCTCGTGTTCATCATGGAAAACAGGTCGAAAATGTTTCATCATAGTTTTTGTCAAAGAAATGAACACTGAACCCTGCAGACTGGTTCCAGCTGTAATCTGTTTAGTGAATAGAGGAGCAACAGTCACAGACAGATGTTAGAAATATTAGGGGTGGGGTGTAGTCGGGTCGGGTACAGTAGGTTTGGGTGGAGTAGAGTCAGGTTCGGTTGGGTACTGGTACATCTGGATCCTACAGACTGATGCTAGCCTGGATTTGTTTTGTGCTAACTCAGTAGTTTTGTTGTCAATAATCTTTCACAGTGAACCACGAAGAAAAATCTCAAAACAAAAAATCAAATGTGCTTCAGCTCAATCCAACACTGGTGAGAGGGGAGTGTTAGGATCAGTGATGGGTGGGCGGGATGGTGGAGGACGGGAGGAGTGATGAGTCAGAGTACGACACCTGAGAAGGTCGAACCCCACGTAAGTATGGATAAGATGGCCTCTGTGCAGCACAACAGAGAAATGAATCATGAGAATCCAAAGCATGATGAAGCTCCTGTCAATCAACCTGCAACTCTGAAACTCTGAGCCTCTTCTCCAGCACACATCCTGATGATCTGAAACGCTGACAGATGACAGACACAACTACAGAAAGACAACAACATTTTTCTCTAACTTAAACTGGGAACACACCGGCAGAACAGTTACTGACTGACTTTTACAGACTACAGTCGCCTCTGATGGTGATCGGATTTCTCAAGAACATGTTGTGTAACTGTGAAGGACAGAAGAGAATCATGAACTCTTCCACACGACAAGATACCAACCGACTGTCTTTGTTGGTTGTGGTTCTCACAGAATCGTTTAGACTGTCCAAGTTTATAACTGAGGTTATAAACCTTCTGTGTTCCCAGTTTAAGAGGCTGTGGTATGTGTGGTGGTTGATAGGGATGTTTGGCGGTTTGCAGTGTCGCCCACCTCCTCCCTGGCAGAGATAGTGGAGGCCGGCGTGGTGGGCAGTGAGCTGGGTGAGGTGGCGGTGCCCATGCCAGAGCCCGGCGAGTCTCCGTCCCCGGCAACATCGTGGATTTCCTTCGCCAGGATGGCCAGATCTTTGGCCAGGTCCTGACTGAGCCTGCAGGGGAGACACAAGGTCAACGGGAAGGTTTGGACGCAGCGTTAGAGAAAGACCAACTGATGGAAACATCTCATGGTGCTTCTCAAAGTCAGCGACGGATCCTGAATTTCAAGGAGGCTACATCATTCAATCTGGTAGAAGGACTGATCCAATGTCAAGGATCCTTCAAACTCTACAGAGGACCGACTCCCTCCTTCAGAGAGTTGTCAGGGATGCGTGTGTGTATCCACATGACGTACCCACAATTCTTTGTGAACACTTTGCCATAATTGAAGGCGGGGCCTTTTTAGGGACGTACACCTGGGCACTCGCTGGCCTGTCCCAATGTGTGCTCACCAAATTCTAGGAAGGCGTCGTACCTAACCTCTAGGACCTGATTTGGAAGGACTCGTCCTACTAAGGAAGCGTCCTTGACCTTGAGAAACACCGTAAGTTTGGCTGCTCTTTGAATTAAAGGTAAGTTCATTGTTTTTATACTTGGCAATCTCGGCACTGTGCGTGGACCAGTTCTGGTAGGGGTCGACCTCACTCGGGTCCTCGTCTTCCTCTGTCTCCAGTGAGACAGACTTGGATCGGGTGGCAGCAGTTCGGTGGCGAGGCGTCTGGGAGGAAGTGGAGGGATGGGAGGAGCGTTTGGCTTTGGAATTCACGGCACTTGTCTCATAATCTTCCTCAGAGGATGAGGAGAAGTCTGAGCCCTTCTGTCTGCGACGGGAACCTGTAAAGATTTTAGTTCAGATTAGTTTCACTGAAGAATCTCAACAACCTCCTGCAGTGTCAGCTCTGTGATGGACGTGACAGTCTCCTGGTGAAATCACCAGTACAGACAATCAACCACTGAGCTGAAAACACCCAATCAGAGAGATCCACCTCTGTTGCTGTGCTGCTGGTGGCAGGTGATATGAGAGGCTGATCTTTGTGGAATAAATTCAGATGTTTCTGATGAGCTCAGTTTGGGATTTTTATGAATTCAGGATGACATTTTGTTCTAAATGTGACACAGCTCTAATGTCACAGCTGTGGACTGAGGCGTCTCCATAGCAACAGCTGCTGAGGCTCGTGGCAGTTCTGAGCACCGACAGAATTCAGTACGATGAATCCATAATGTCATCATATTGTTTTGGTATTTGCCCTCAGTGACAGGCAGGATATGGATTCATGTGTCGAAGCGCAGTCAAATCCTGATTCCAAACATGATGCTGGAGAGTGATGCTGTGAAGCTGTGTTTCCATGGTAACAGCAGCAGGCTCGACTAAAGGAACTCACCAGGGACAGAAATCTGACGTGATCCACAATGATAGTGAAAGGGCAGACGTTCAGCAGCAGAATACTGAAACAAAGCCTGATTTAAATTAACTTGTAATATGTTAATCTGTCAGACAGTCTGCTGCATACAAACAGAAGACATGTTCATCAGCGGGACTCACTGTTTGGGATGAGGATTAGGATTAGAGCACTGAAATGTGTCTGCAGCACTGAGTGTGTCCGCTCCAATTATCTTGTTGATTTATTCTGTGATCAGACGAAGCCACGGGGCGCCAGAGTGCAACTAAACATTCTCATTGGCTGCACCAGTGACGTTTGTTACACTGATGCAGCCAATGTGAACCAAAGTTCCACCTGGAAACTCTGATGAGCTGATGTTAGCACAACAAGCTGATTGGCTGTGAGTCAGTCTCACTATAGCGAGTTAAAATGACAAGGCACAGCTGGAAGACCCGCCTGCTACAACAGCAACAGAGCCCGAGGTGTGTGTAAGACGAGCGATAACACACATTATAGGAACTGTTGTGTACAGATATAAAGACAGGTGAGCCTTCAGACTTTGGCCCTTTGATACCTTGGGTACAAAAAGTTGGCAAACCACTGCTCTAGATTTTCATTCCTGTTTGTTTTAAATCAATTCAATCAATTTTATTTATAAAGCCCAATATCACAAATCACAATTTGCCTCACAGGGCTTTACAGCATACGACATCCCTCTGTCCTTAAGACCCTCACAGCTGATCAGGAAAAACTCCCCAAAAAACCCTTTAACGGGGGAAAAAAAAAACGGTAGAAACCTCAGGAAGAGCAACTGAGGAGGGATCCCTCTTCCAGGACGGACAGACGTGCAATAGATGTCGTACAGAACAGATCAGCATAATAAATTAACAGTAATCCGCATGACACAATGAGACAGAGAGAGAGAGAGAGAGAGAGAGAGAGAGAGAGAGAGAGAGAGAGAGAGAGATGCAGGTAATGACAGTAGCTTACAACAACATTAATGAAAGTAATAATATTATAGTTATAGTTCTGGCTACTGTGGTACAATATGTTGAAAGTATGTATTAATATCTGGCAGTATACTTGTGTGACAATAGTCATATGTGTATAATAACAGTAGAAGTATGACTAATGACTAATGATGGCATTTTGCGTGTGAATTTTAGGCCAAACTACGATGTTTTTTTTCTAAACTGAGGGAAATAAACCTCAAACAAAGTGTTCTGCTGTGAGTTTGTTTGAAAAAGACTGAAAGCATGTGACGAGCTGAAACTGTGCGTTTATTTGAAAACAGAAGTTGATTTTGAAAAGACAATTCATGTAATGCATTGTAACGTATCATCTGAGACGCCATCCCTAAACGTCCAAAACTGATGCAGGAGGGTACCTAGCGCGTCATATTTAGACGTGTAGGTCCACTTAATGAGCGGTGGTATTTGACAAGTTGGGATGAGAACTTGTTGAAACAAACAAAACTCAATGACTTTGAACCAACACTGAACCAATGCTTGACTCCTGTGTATCGTTACACTCCTCAAGAAATGACCACTGCATATAGAAACTGACTGAAAAGGTGACACTTAAAATGTGCCACTGTGGTGCCAACAGGTGCAGTGAAACATTCTGGATGCACCAAAATTTGTGCTTGCACATCTGAAAGTTTGGCTCATCAGTAAATTATTAAATGATAAATAATGTGTTTTGTTATTTTCCTCATTAAGAGATTCAATGACCTTGAAGGACAGAAGCAACATTATGATAAAATTCGTATGTATGACAAAGACAGAAACTTTTAAATCCGGTCAGGACTCACCGCTGCTGGGGTACTTGGCTCCGCTGGACCGGGTGCGGGTCAGTGGTTGCTTCCCCTGAGCTCCACCCCCTTTGCTAGCTGCCTGGCGGGCATCGCCCACAGATGTCTTCCTGGTGGTGACGACAGACTCAGAGTTGCGATTAGAGGGAGCGGTGCGGCCTGTGGAGGATGACTCGTTGTCACTGGGAGCCGTGAAGGAGCCGGTCCTCTTCCTGGGCATCGCCAAGATGTCCAGCCTTGACAGCTTCTTCCCCTCGGCAGACACTTTGGACGGCGCAGTGATACTGTCTGAATTCTGGGAGCCCCGGTCGGTCTCAGCACCCTCGTTATCTGAGGCCTCGCCCAGGCGTGCTCGACGGAGCATGGAAGCCCGGGTTGGTCGTGGCGCTGACAGGCTGTTGGAACGTGTCAGAACCTGCTGAGTCGCCGTCTTAGGCGTCTTTCCGTTGTCTTCTTTCTGAAGGGGGGCGATGAGTTTCTTGCTACGGCTGGACGGACGGGAAATTTCATGGTCAGATGATGTTGTTTCAGTCCAGTGAGGACCAGAACCCTGCTGGCCCTCTGACAGATCCAGAGATCCACGGTTGCCCGCACTACGGCGCATCTGGAAGCGCTTTGCTGCCTCTGCTTTGCTCGATGTCTCTGCAGTCGTCTGGTTTCTGCGTTTCTCAGAAAGCCGTTCACGGGCAGAGAGTTGCCGTCCCTTCTCTTGGATGGACGGGCTGGACGAGGACTTCTCCTTCTGCAGGCTGCTGATGGCTGGACGCTTTTTAGGAGCAGAGCTGACTGGAGCGTTTTTGCTACTCACCTGGCTCACAGTGCTCGCCGTGTCCACGTCTGACTCACCAGAGAGCGAGTCGTCCATGTGGGTGGAGGAGCCTCCTTTCTTTGAGCTACGACCAGAGCCAGACGAGGGGAACTTGGAGTCCAGAGAGGACAAAGTCCCCTCGGCCTCCTGAAGGAAGGACTGCGTGTCCTGGATGTTGTCCCTCCTCTGCTCCATGTCTCTGATGGACGGGTGGCTGGAGATGTGGGGAAGCTTCTTCATCTGGACGGTGTCGCTGGGCCGGTCTTTGGTGAAGCTCTCCTGCCGCACGATGGACGAGATGCCGCTGTCTTTAGTGGGGACAGAATCCTTGTCCTGTATTTGGAGGTTTGGAGCAGAGCTGTTTGGTTTGACACCTGTCCTCCTGGGTTCGTGTCCACTCAGGTGTCGGATCAGGACAGTGGTAGGGGGAGGTTTAGCTGTGGGGTCACGTATCCTCTCAGACTGTACCGGGCTCCGGGCCTGGTCAGGTTTGCCTGGACTGTCTTCAGAACCAATGTAGAAGGAGGTGGATTTAGTGGACGGAGACACTTTCTCTGGACCCTTGAAGTGAGGACCAGCGGCCCCCGGAGACAAAGATCCAGTCCTGGCCTGATTCTTCTTTGTCTTCTCCAGAACAGGCGTGTCATCTGAGCGGCTGGCGTCACTCAGGCTGTCCGGGTCCACATCGTCCTGAACGGCCAGGCGCTGGGTGCTGTCCTGTGGACGGGGAGGACCAGAGACCCGGTCCAGAGGTTCCTGGCCTTGGTGAGGCTCGTGGCGAATCAGGATACTGGGAGGCACACTGTCCAGCTTCTCTGGAGGCACCTGAGGCAGCAGCCGTCTCGTCCTGGAGCTGTGGCTGGACTCCGATTCAGAGTTATCGTAGCTGTAACTTCCCATCGAGCGGCTCATGAAGCGCAAATCTACAAAAACAATTCAAGTTATTCCAGTGTGTCATAAAAAAATGTCTTCTACTTCATCTGTATGATATTTTCCTAAACAGACGACTCAAGGCCCAAACCTCAACTGCTGCAACTTTCCCTCCCTGAAACATGACATCACAGGCGTCCACATGCTCTGCTCTCTGACATAAACCATGTGGGGTGGAGACAGTGCTTTACAGTAATTAACTGTTAGCAATCAAGTGACTATTATGATGCGCAAAATCCAGATGGAGGACAGAAGTGATAAATCCACATACTGTGTGAATCGGATAAAGAGGAAAGTGACTCATGACTAAATAAAAGTGTTGGATGCAGCAGCTATCGTCAGAAAACTGAAGCTCATGTTGACTGTGATCCAGACAAAACAGAAAAGTTATTTTTCCCACAACTTGACCGATTCGTCCGGCGTGGACATGATCATCGTTACAAATGACCTCGTCCTCCAGACCTGCTAATGTCACTATCGGTACACGGCGAGCTGATGAAAGTGTCCAAGAATCCAGACTATAACTATTTTATAATTATAGCTAACATTAGCTAACTTTAACTACTATTTTCAACCTACTAGGTCAACTGTTCCCAGAGGTCTGGTGAAAAGCTGTCAGGCTAATGTTAGCTAACTTTCGCTAATGTTTTCTACCAACTATAGGTCAAAGGTTCCCAGAGGACTTCCTGGTGAAAAGCAGTTACAAATCGAAGTCATTGCTAAAAAACACAGGGAAGTTGTGACAGCATCCTTAAACTCGGGGCACGTTTAACACTTTAATATTAATGTTTGACATTAGTAGACTCAAGGTGGAGGTTTTTGCTCTCACTGAGTTTTGCTGTTTGCGTTCTGATATTTTCGGGATTTAAAGTGGCTTTTGATTTTTCCTCATTTGATCGATTGAACAGCCATAAACACAAATCAGAGACATCCGTGTTGTTAGTCTTTGTCTCCAGTTTCCTGCTCTCCATCTGGACAGATCACCGATGGATGAGGTCATTTGCAGAGAAGCGTTTGGAGATTGTGCTTTTTAAGTTTGGGTCTCGTTCCAGTGTTAATATTTAAATTAGCTGAGAAGAAACACAGTTTTCTAAAAAGTCTAAAACAATGACACAGATACAGATCACAGGTTAGTAAGAGGTAGACATGGGGTCACAAAGTACGCTGGTTTGATACCCGTCTCTTCACACGTCATGTTTACATCACAGACAGAATTTAACAGCACCTTCCAGGCTTTCCCCCTGAGGTGGAGTGGAACCAGGTTCAGCGTAGCTGTCTGCCAGACTGGCCCAACGGGAAACCCATTTGGGTCCTTCCAGACCAGCAACTGGAACCTAGACACCAGAACCACATGATGAACGGCAGAACTGTGGGACCAAAGAGTCCAACGAGACTCCACAGGAGAAACTGAGGGAATAAAAACACTCTGCATGCACCGGGATCACAACCTGGGTTTACCTGTATGGGGCCCGTCAGGGGGGCGCTGAGGGCAGCGGGGATAAAGCCATGCAACGGGTCCACAGTGCTACCATCGCTAGGCAGGTTAGCTTGCTCATCCTTTCCATCATTTATTACAGGTCTATACACTCCTGTGCTGACACCACTGTACTCTGGAGAGTCGAGGACACCAAACACCTGTCGGAGCACAGGGCATGCATAAGGGGGGGGGGCAGGGTCACGGCAACAGGAAGAAGCAACAAGGAAAAGAGGTTTCATGCATCTCTGAGGGCATTTAAATACACACCGTTTATCTAAGTACATCTCACATGGAAGGATACTGAACATGACTTTAAATCCAACACGTCTGTTTCTTCTCCTGTTTTACACAGATTTAAGGTAAAGACTTTTTTATGCACTCAGATATTTCTCTCAAATTTAGGTCGCAAATTTGTTTATTGTTGTATTGCATCATCTGTTCAGGTGGCCGCACTCACACAATCTAACAGGTGAAGACACTGGATGTGGTGCTGAGCTGGTGTGGTTACACCTGGTCTGTGGTCGAGAGGTCGGTTGGATGTACCGCCAAATTCACAAAAACAACATCAGACATCTTGTGGTCGAGAAAAAAACATTCAGTTGACAGCTCTGGTGGATGTTCCTGTAGTCAGCATGTTAACAACATGCTCCATCTGTGTCATGTGATCAGCACGCCAAAAACACAATGCACCAGACCCTGATAGTCCCTGCGGGTGGTGGGCCCACAGGGAGACGGCTCCATGTTATCTTTTCAGGCTGAGCCCGACCAGGCCTCATGGCCCAAGGCCCCGCCACGAGGTAGGGGTCAGCTGAGGTGGTTCAGGCATCTGATCAGGATCTTCCTGGGCGCCTCCTGCTGGAGGTGTTTCAGGCACGCCCCACTGGTAGGAGGCCCTGGGGCAGACCCAGAACACACCGGAGGGATTACATATCTCATCTGGCCTGGGGACACCTCGGGGTCCTCCAGAAGGCGCTGGAAAGTGTTGCTGGGGAGAGGGACATCTGGGGTGCTTTGCTCAGCCTGCTGCCCCCGAGACCTGGCTTCAGATATGCGGATGAAAATTAATAGATGGATGGATGGCATCCCGACACACACCTGTGTAATGACGCTGCTGAATCAGACACACCTGACAGGTAGATGGATGATTTTGAAAAAAGAGAAGAGTTGACTGACATGGAGTTTAAAAATGAAATATATCTATTGAGAGCATAAAAAAGTCTGAGAACTCAAACCTGTGAAACATGGGAGCAGAAACAAAGGGTTGCATTTAAATTTGTGTTCAGTGTAGTTCTCGTTCTAAAGTCCAGTTCAGACCAAAGATTCATGGCAAGACGAGTTGAAACAAACAACTACTGTCAACGCTCCGTTCTGTAAAATGCTGGCAGTTGACAGGAAGTGACCACTATGAGACGGCATATCATCTCTAGTCAACGACTCTCTGTGCTTCTGATCTGTAACGTCGACAGGAAGTGACCACCATGAGACGGTGTATCATCTCTAGTCAACGACTCTCTGTGCTTCTGATCTGTAACGTCGACAGGAAGTGACCGCCATGAGACGGCGTATCATCTCTAGTCAACAACTCTCTGTGCTTCGTTCTGATTTGCAGCTTTTCAGGTTTATTTTGTGGCTGAATATAATTTGTAGCTTCTTAAAATCTGAATGAGGATAGTGATAGTGAGATACTGGCTACAGTGATGAAACAAAACCAGCATCAGATGGACTGTATTCATAATCAATACACCACAATAATATAAATAACCAGCGCCAACTCATCAGCCAATGAGAATGTGTGTGTGGGCGGGGCATAAGCACATACAGCCAGCAGCAGCAGCGACCCACCGTCTGACACTTTTCTCTGTAACGTTCTAAAACGTTTCATCCCTTCATGAATCTTTGGTCTGAACTGGACTTTAGATAAAACCTTTTCTGCAGAGCGTGTTTACATCGGTCGATTTCTCATTCGCATATTCTAACACAGGTTCGCCTTTGTTACTCCCCCAACAAAGAAACTCTGAGGTGAGCTTTGATTTTGTCTTCTCTTGATGTTAGTGTGGTGCTGCTACAGCAAAAGGAACATGTAGCTCCGCCTACAACAAGAACAGCTTCAGATGAAGCTCCTCCATACTTCAGAATAAACCCTGTCTGTCTCAGTGCAGAGTGACCTTTACCAGTTAACTGACCAGCTGCTTTTTTACTTGTTTTCTGGTTCACTGACCCGAGTCAGTTGTTGGACTTTCAGTAAAGATTCTTTCTACCTATCGCAGTCTTACATCAGCTCTTTGAGCCACAGATGCTTCGGGGTCATGAGCTAACAGTCGCTGTGATCACCTGATCAATCATGTTGCGAGCCTCTTCCACCTCTTTGTCCTGCGCCTCCGTCTCGATGGTGTAGGTCCCGGCGTCGCTCAGGCTGTCATCCTCCTCGTTCCTCATCATCCTCTGAGAAGCTTTGGGGTCTCCAGCGCGGACACCCGGGAGCAGCATGGGGGACATGGGAGGCTGGACAGGAGATGCGGCCCGGACGGCAGCACTGATGGGGACTGAGGACTTGGACATTGCTGAGGGCTGTGAGGGGGAGGAGGGGTAGGACACTGAGGAGGGTGCTGGAGGTTCCTGGGGGGAGGGGATTCTTGCTTGAGGAGGTGACACCATCACTGGTGGTGCAGACATTGGGGGAGGGGACATCTTGTCCCTGGTTGGGGAGGAATCCCGTTGCCCAGAATCCTTGAGGAACTCAGCAGCGAACTCTTGAGCGAGCTTGGACTTCTTTCCAACGCTGCCGAAGGGTCTGATGGTGATGCCCGAGGAGGAGCGAGAGGAGGAGGCAGAGGACACCACCTCCCCCTCTGTCTTCTCCCTCTTCAGAGAGCTAGACCTCTGGGGGCCACCGTGGCCCTGACCCTTCAGAGGAACCGTCACCTGCTGGGTAGGGGGGATGTGGCCGTGTACAGACGCCGGCCTCTCGCCACCTTTCCGCCGCTCCAGCTTGGCCTTTAGGGCTGAGTATGAGTCGGCATGGGCGGGGTTATGTGTGAAGGACTGCGAGCGCTTCTTACGCGGGTGGTCATCAAAGAACTCAATGATGAAGGCTTGCTGGGTGAGGTGCTCGGGGGGGCCCTGCTTTGGTATTTCAGTGGTGGGGGACTGAGCCTGAGGAGGACTCTGGGACAGGGGCCGCTCAGGGGCCACAGGTGAGGCTGGGGCCGGTCCGGGCGGAGAGTACTGCAGCGGCTGGTGGAGCGTCTGAGTCGGAGCAGGCGGCTGGCTGGAAGGACCGGACTGTACCGTCTGCTGCGACGCCTCCGACTGCTCTGATTGGACAGAGTGGTGGGATTTACTCCTCCTCCCTTTCAGAACCGGGTCCTCTGAGTCACTCTGGGTCCCGTCCTCGTGATGGTGACCTGACAACAACAACAAAATCATCAACATTAATCAACCTGTCACAGTAAAAACAGTGGGATGCTCCTTTAATGATACCGACCTTTGAGGGTCTTGATGTTTATGGCGAGGTCACTCTTGGTGCTGTAAACATCTTCACACGTCGGGCGTCTTCTCATCATGCTGACGTCACTGTGAACCAGCCAATCGGCCACCTTGCTCTCTGCTGACATCACGTCTGTAGGTGTGGCTGTTGTGATGGTGGTCTTGGCAGGCGGAGCCTGCTGCTTCCTCTGGCGGGTGGAGAACTTTGTGACGTGGTCTTTGATCTTGATCTTGCCGGGCATGCAGTCGTCAAACTCGATGGTGAAGGAGGCGTGGCTCTGAACAACGGGTGGGGTCGGGGTGGGGGGCGACGGTGGGGCCGGGGGCGTGTCTGTATCCTTGGTGGGGATCTCATGAAGCTCCGCCCCCGGGGGTTTGGGGTGCTGGAAGTCTTTGGTGGGGATCTCGAAGTAGCTCGGCTCACGGTGGTATGAAGGGAAGACGGTCTTTGGTTGGGAGTCTGACAGAGATCCAGGAAAGTCCGGATCCACCAACGGGACATCTTTCTGGACTTCTGATGGAAACACAACATCATGAACAACTTTTTATAATAACTGCAAGAATATTAATAAAATACTGGACGGACGGACTGACTAGTGCTACTCATACTTTCTGCCCATCAGTTTTTGGAAGTGCTATTTCACCTGCGTGAGTTTCAGTGCTGGTCTGAACTTTACTCCCATAATCCTCCTCTCCCCACCAGGACGGCTGACCATACAGAGGAGTGGGCCGACACACCGGAGCCTCTGAAAACACACACACACACACACACACACACACACACACATGGTTTATTTTATTTCAGCCACATCAGAATTTAAAACATTAGAATTCATTCCAACAGTAAAATGTTCGACATGATCAGTGTGAGCAGGCACCCTGTGTGCTCTTGGTACTGGCTGTTTTCTCAGCTCTCGTTCGGTCCTCCAGCTCCGTCTTCTTCTTCTCTGAAGCCTTCAGACTGATCTGCAGCTGACTGCTGTACTTCTCATGCTGCAACCACAGGACACACACACACACACACACACACACACAGGTGATCAGACAGCTGATCAGCAGATCAATGACCATGTAAGTGCTGAGATGACACACTGACCTTCAGAGCCTCCTCGGGGACCTTGTGTTGACTTTTCTCCAACACGTAGACGTGAGAATGTGACGAGGACGTTAAGGAACATACTGACATCATCAAACACACACACACACACACACACACACTGAGTGATGACGTCATCTGAAGGATATCATATCCGAAGCGGATGATGTCGGACACTTTGAGGGTGATGTAGGTCTGATCAGGGATCCTCAGGTCGTTCACAAACGTCTGCAGCGACACAACATATGTTTCATCATGTTAACGACACAGATACATGTATGTACACACTCTTGCAGTAACTGTTGTGCGCTCAAAGACACTCAGAGCTGAACTCTCAAACTGACTTAAAGTCTTTATAGTTCAGGGTCATGTGACCATCACAAGAACAACTCTGTGACCTCTGACCTCCCTCAGCCCGCCTACATATTTTCCAGGTTCCTGCCTATGATGTCAGAGTGTGTTGTACTTCCTGTCTCACCCCGTTCAGGCTGCCCAGGTCTTTGACCAGGTGTTCGTCAGTCGTCGGGTTGTAGTTGATGACGGCGTGTTGCTTGTCGACGCTGCGGGACTGTCAGAGAGAAAAGAATCAGCCAGTGGTCGGCTCGACCAATCAGAGGAGACGACACGTCATCAATCACCTGATCAGTGATCAGACTCACCTGCAGCATCAGCTCACAGTCCTCTCGGCCCACAAAGATCATCTCCTTGGGGAGGCGGTGTCGAGTCCCCGAGCTGCTCACCAGGAACCATGATGTCACACTCATCTTCACAGGCCTGCTGGGAAACCCCAGAGCATCCTGGGAAAAAGGAGAGACACATTTCATCCTTAAAGATCTCAGTGCTGTGGACTGTCGGTCATCAAACAACGACACAAATGATCCTCGCTGGTGAGAGCTGACACTCCAGGACCACGTCGGTGTGTGTGCAGGATCACAGTGTGGTGTGTTGGCACTATTTCATGCAGTGTGAGGTGTAAGGACACGTAAGTGACGTCAGCACAGGAAGTGATGGGTGCAGGGCCGGGCCCTAGTTGTTGTGTCTGCTCCAGGCTTTGTGCATGTGCAGCTGAGTCCAGCCAGTCCAGTGTAGAAGACGGCGCCACCTCCTGATTATATTTCTACATAACACCCATGATGCAACTCTTCTGGACCTGACAGCAGCATAACCCTTTAAAGGGACACGTCACTGAAAACCTGACCACGTGTGAATCAGTGAGTCACACTGTGTTAACCTTCAGTTGGTTGTTCTCTGACGCCTCCTCTGAACACAGCACAGATATTGATTTATTGATTGATTGGGGACAAAATTTAACTCTATCAGCGGCTGTGGCTCAGAGGCAGAGCGGGTCGCCCACTAATTGGAAGATCGATCGTTCGATCCCCGGCTCCTCCAGTCTGCATGTCGAAGTATCCTTGGACAAGATACTGAAGCCCACATTGATCCTGATGGCTGATCATCGGTGTGTGAGAGGGTTACTGAGTGTCAGGTGGCACCATGTACGGCAGCCTCGACCACCACTGTGTGACTGTGTGAATGTGTGACTGTGTGAATGTGACTGTGTGAATGTGACTGTGTGACTGTGACTGTGTGAATGTGTGAATGTGACTGTGTGAATGTGTGAATGTGACTGTGTGACTGTGTGACTGTGACTGTGTGACTGTGTGACTGTGTGAATGTGACTGTGTGACTGTGACTGTGTGAATGTGACTGTGTGAATGTGACTGTGTGACTGTGACTGTGTGAATGTGTGAATGTGACTGTGTGAATGTGTGAATGTGACTGTGTGACTGTGTGACTGTGACTGTGTGACTGTGTGACTGTGTGAATGTGACTGTGTGACTGTGACTGTGTGAATGTGACTGTGTGAATGTGACTGTGTGACTGTGACTGTGTGAATGTGTGAATGTGACTGTGTGAATGTGTGAATGTGACTGTGTGACTGTGTGACTGTGACTGTGTGACTGTGTGACTGTGTGAATGTGACTGTGTGACTGTGACTGTGTGAATGTGACTGTGTGAATGTGACTGTGTGACTGTGACTGTGTGAATGTGTGAATGTGACTGTGTGAATGTGAGTGTGTGAATGTGACTGTGTGAATGTGACTGTGTGACTGTGTGACTGTGACTGTGTGAATGTGACTGTGTGACTGTGACTGTGTGACTGTGTGACTGTGTGAATGTGACTGTGTGACTGTGACTGTGTGAATGTGACTGTGTGAATGTGACTGTGTGACTGTGACTGTGTGAATGTGACTGTGTGAATGTGACTGTGTGACTGTGTGACTGTGACTGTGTGAATGTGTCTGTGTCACTGTGACTGTGTGACTGTGTGACTGTGTGAATGTGACTGTGTGACTGTGACTGTGTGAATGTGACTGTGTGAATGTGACTGTGTGACTGTGTGACTGTGACTGTGTGAATGTGACTGTGTGACTGTGACTGTGTGACTGTGTGACTGTGACTGTGTGAATGTGACTGTGTGACTGTGACTGTGTGAATGTGACTGTGTGAATGTGACTGTGTGACTGTGTGACTGTGACTGTGTGAATGTGACTGTGTGACTGTGACTGTGTGAATGTGACTGTGTGAATGTGACTGTGTGACTGTGTGACTGTGACTGTGTGAATGTGACTGTGTGACTGTGACTGTGTGAATGTGACTGTGTGACTGTGACTGTGTGAATGTGACTGTGTGAATGTGACTGTGTGACTGTGACTGTGTGAATGTGACTGTGTGACTGTGACTGTGTGAATGTGACTGTGTGAATGTGACTGTGTGACTGTGACTGTGTGAATGTGACTGTGTGACTGTGACTGTGTGAATGTGACTGTGTGAATGTGACTGTGTGACTGTGACTGTGTGAATGTGACTGTGTGACTGTGACTGTGTGAATGTGACTGTGTGAATGTGACTGTGTGAATGTGACTGTGTGAATGTGTGAATGTGACTGTGTGAATGTGACTGTGAATGTGACTGTGTGACTGTGTGAATGTGACTGTGTGACTGTGTGAATGTGACTGTGTGACTGTGACTGTGTGACTGTGACTGTGTGACTGTGTGAATGTGACATGCAGTGTAAAGGGTGCTGTGAGTGGTCAGAAGACTAGAAGAGCGCTACACATGTTCAGTCCACTGACCACATCACAACATCTGTTCACCAACCCTTACACATATTGATCCAGTCACATGACTTTAACCTCAAACCCTCCTCCACCAACCGCATCACTTCCTGTCCTTCAGCAGCTCCACTGGCTCCCAGTTAAACACCACGTTGACCTCAAGATCTTCCTCCTCACCTTTAAGGCCATCATCATCCTTGCTCCTCTGTACCTCTCCCAACTCTCAGGTCTCTCTCTTCATCCACCTCACTGTCCCGCCAGCCCGCCTGACCACCATGATGTCTACAGCCCTCAGCCGAACATGTGACGACATGAAGGTCTCCCCTCAGCTGCTGTTTGATGATTTATACTGTTCACATTATTTTCATCTCATCAACCTGTTCAGTGAGTCCTGCTGTCCTCTGGGTGGAGACAGAGACGTTTCAGTAACATCACACCAGAGGTCCTGCTGCTGGACTGAATATCATCCGACTGTGACGCGGTCGGAGGATCCGTCCTCTGATCAGAGACACTCAGCTCTCTGATGTGTGTTCATCTGTGTAACCAGGAGTTCATGTCTGTGATATCAGTTAATATCCTATAATAATATCTAATGCAACAGATCAGGGTGTTTTCAGACAGAGGCCTGAAGCTGTCTGCGGCTGAAACAATGAACCATTGAGCTAAAAGGTTTTTCATTAGATCGTTATATAAACAGGATGATGCAAACAGAGACTTCCTGCAGCGGGCGCCACAGATCTGTTTTTAAAAAGTTAAATGTTTTTTTAGTTCAATTTTTTTTTTTGCATAAAATATTTTGGATATCTGTTGATGTGAATTTTTCAGGAATATAATAATTTTTGAAAAATTAAAAAAGTAAATTAAAACTTGATCAAACAATAACCAGGTGTTCACCCTGCAGTGACTCCGACGACCTCCTGTGGAGGACTCAGGTAACTGCAGGACTCACACACACTTTGATCCACAAAATTTCAAAACTTTTCCAGGACTGTTCAAGGACTCATGATGATAGTTTTTGCTTTTTGTCCCGCCTGTACGGCATTTTTCAAACAACAAGATTCAGACTTGATTCAAACATCATTTCAGGTGGCTGGCAGATGGGAAGAGAGAGACCGAACGCAGCGGGAAAATAAAGAAACATACATGACGGTAGAGACATATTAAAGCTCCGCCATGTCAACGGCTACAGAAAATAAATTTGCTGTCACGTTAGGTTGAAGCTTATCTGTGGAAGATTACCGCAACACTTTCATCACACACAACAAAAATTCAGTGACTTCCAAAACTTTCAGTAATTTTTTACTAATTCCAATTTCACAGTTACGTTTTCCAGGCCTGGAAAAAGGCCTGGAAAAAGGCCTGGATGTCCTGCATTAAAATCTCAGTCACCTGATGAAGAGCTGCTCTTCTGTTAACGTGTGAGCGTCTGTGTGTCTGTTCAATGGGGGGGGGCTTATGTTTTTTTATTTGGTTCAGAGGATTTAAACTGTTGTATTTGTATTTATTTTACTGCCAGTTTTTACAGAAATCACGTCTTCTGAATATTGATGATTTTTGTAATTTTGGGGAAAATTTTCGGCAATAAATTTTGGCTTTTATTTGAGTTGCAATTTTTAAAGAAAACATGTTTTCTTTAAAAATCGCAACAACAATGATTTAACAGCCAGAAATGTAATAACAGAAATTATTGTTGGAATTTCAAATTCCCAACAGTTCCTGGACATAAAAAAAACAACACATCACCAGATCTGAGCTGGACATGTTTCATCCAAATCATTTCACATCTCATCCCCTGATAAATACAGAACAGTCTCTGTCGCTGTGAAGCTTTGAACTTCTTCATCTCTTCCTCTTCATACAGAGTCTGACCTCACTGAGACGCTCAGTGTTTCTGCGCTAACCCCAGAGCATGATGGGATGTCACCGTGCTGCACCTGTCTGTGGAGACACATCTGCTCCCGCTCATTAATATACACATTACATTGAACATCACGTGACCTGACAGGAAGTGTCCTTGGAGCAGGTTAACCTGTTCACCTCTGTGACATCATCACCATCCTCATCCTCATCATCACTGTCTCACCTGAACCGAGCCACACCCGGGATAACAAACACACTACACACACAAACACACACACACACACACACACACACACACACACTACACACACAAACACACTACACACACACACACACACACACACGCCAGCGGCTCGTCAGAAACATCCCGCCGGGCCTCAGCGCTCCATCCGCGGCTACAGGCCGGACAGGAGGAGCCGCTCCGGCCTGTAGCCGCGCAGAGGAGCCGGTACCGGAGGGACGGACCGACAGACAGACAGATAACCGGACAGACAGACAGGTCGGCTCCCTCCTCCACGCCCTGCCCTCCTCCTCCTCCTCCCCTCCTCCTCCTCCTGCAGCTCTTACCTCCGCTCCAGATGCTGCCGCCGCTCCTCCGCCGCTTCTCTCCGCCGATCAGATCCCGCACTGACGCGCTGCGGGGCGGACAGAGCATGAGAGGCGTCCCGGAGCCGGTACCGGAGCCACTGACACACGGAGTCAGACAGACCGATGCTCGGTGATGCTGATGATGATGATGCTGCTGTTATGGCATCTCTGTCTCCTCCTGACGCACCAGCTGCCACCCGCTGCGTCAACACGCACCGCGCCACCGGAAGCTGTCAAAATAAAAGCCGTCAGACAGTGTGAGAGGAGGACTGAGCCCAGGTCAGAGTCAGTGAGAGAAACTGATCAGTCTGCGATCAGCTCTGATTGATACATCAGTTCGTTATTGATCAGCCTCTGATCCAGAACAGGCGGAAGTAGATTTACAACATGTTTCTACTTCCTGTTTGACAGGTGATCAGAGTCAGTATTAATCAGTCCCCTCAAGACTAAATAATAACTGTGTTCATTTATCTTCTTTCCTTTATATCACTTTTTATATAATAATAACTCTCTCCTGTAGTCACGTCCGTCTGTCTGTCTGTCCGTCTGTCCGTCTGTCTGTCTGTCCGTCTGTCCGTCTGTCTGTCTATCTGTCCATCTGTCTGTCTGTCTGTCCATCTGTCTGTCTGTCTGTCCATCTGTCTGTCTGTCTGTCTGTCTGTCTGTCCATCTGTCTGTCTGTCTGTCTGTCTGTCCATCTGTCCATTTGTCCATCTGTCTGTCTGTCTGTCTGTGTCCTTTTTTGAATGTGGAACTGAAACAGATTTTGTGAGGTTTTATCGCCGTCCACTTTTGTACCACGTCAGAGCAAGTCGGGATGAAGTCGGACACAAAACTAACCAGCATGCATTGTGCTCCGAGCGCTGGTGATGGAAGCTGCACAGGCCTGGCTCATCTCCAACCAGCCTGAAAATGTGGAGCAATTCAAATAATATATTTATTGCATCTGGTTTCAAACTGAAGTTGACAAACACATGGAACACATCAATCAATCAATTTTATTTATAAAGACCAATATCACAAATCACAATTTGCCTCACAGGGCTTTACAGCATACGACATCCCTCTGTCCTTATGACCCTCACAGCTGATCAGGAAAAACTCCCCAAAAAACCCTTTAACGGGGAAAAAACGGTAGAAACCTCAGGAAGAGCAACTGAGGAGGGATCCCTCTTCCAGGACGGACAGACGTGCAATAGATGTCGTACAGAACAGATCAGCATAATAAATTAACAGTAATCTGTATGACAGACACATGAACATATGAACACATGAACATATGAACACATACATGCATGTTCCATGATTTATTTATTTGTCGTAATGTTGTTTCATTCTGTGCTCCGTCTGTTTGAGAGCCAACATGACCTGAGTGTCACTTCTCAATATTGTTGTATGTTTTTCTGTCAATAAAAAAAACTCACCTCCAACGAGCCGAATATCTGCTCATTATAAACAGACCGGAAGTCGTGCTCTTATTGTGAAGGCAGGCTGGTTTCCCAGCTGAGTGCCGGCATTTTGACGGATCTGCATCTGATCAACACACACACACACACACACACACACGCACACACACACACACACACACACACACACACACACACACACACACCATCATCATCATCATCATCATCATCATTCAGAGGATGGTGTCATTGTTTTTATTTCACATCATAATTTAAACTATTTCAAATCCATTTTCTGGCGGAGTCACGTGACACGACGGTCCGTCACCTCATGAGGGCACGCTCCGGTTTGGGATGACGTCACCTCGGTGCTCGCACGGGAAATTAAAAAACAAACAAACAATGATGATGATATTATGTAATATAATAGTAATAATAACAGTTAATAACGCTTGTACAATCAGTCAGTATTTCCATGTTGTGCTGGATCCTTAACACAAAGCTCTGTCCTCTCATGATGATGTCACACACTCAGAATAACAGTGTGATCCTGTCAGAGACAGAAACACTGTCAGTGGACAGTAGGGTGGGGTACCGTTCATAATTGAACCGATATGGTACCGGTATCTGGAATTCTGTCCCGGTACCAAACGGTACCTTATTTCGGTACTTTTTAAAGTCTAAACTTCTCAGTTTTAACATTTTATTGAGAACATTTAGGAACAGTGCTGCACGTTAACTTTTGTCTGCACATGCATTTATTTTGAAAATTCAATAAAAAGATTTAAATAGAAATAAATACAATTCCTTAAAATGAAAGTGTTTCCCCGCCTGCCTTCCACGCTGCGTCACAAATATTGCAGTGAGCACGGTCTGTGTCGACTGGCGTGAAGTGCAGCCAGACTTTGGACCGCTTTCAGCTCGCCATTGTTGCTGAGTCTGAGGTGCGAGTCGTGCGCTCTCGCTCCACCTCAGGTACCGAAATTTGGCACCGATTCATTTTAAGTGAATCAGTCCCAAGAACAAAAAGTACTGAGTTTCGGTACCCAACCCTAGTGGACAGACAGTGAGACACAAGAGACACAGTGTGGACACACACTGACACACAGAGACACTGAGACACTGAGACACACAGAGACACATTGAGACACACTGAGACACTGAGACATTGAGACATTGAGACACACTGAGACACAGAGACACAGAGACACTGAGACATTGAGACACTGAGACATTGAGACATTGAGACATTGAGACACTGAGACATTGAGACATTGAGACATGGAGACACTGAGACACTGAGACATTGAGACACTGAGACATGGAGACATTGAGACACTGAGACATTGAGACATGGAGACACTGAGACATTGAGACACTGAAACATTGAGACACTGAGACATGGAGACACTGAGACATGGAGACACTGAGACACTGAGACATTGAGACACTGAGACATGGAGACATTGAGACACTGAGACATTGAGACATGGAGACACTGAGACATTGAGACACTGAAACATTGAGACACTGAGACATGGAGACACTGAGACATGGAGACACTGAGACACTGAGACATTGAGACACTGAGACATGGAGACATTGAGACACTGAGACATTGAGACATGGAGACACTGAGACATTGAGACACTGAAACATTGAGACACTGAGACATGGAGACACTGAGACATGGAGACACTGAGACACTGAGACATTGAGACACTGAGACATGGAGACATTGAGACACTGAGACATTGAGACATTGAGACACTGAGACATTGAGACATTGAGACATTGAGACATTGAGACATTGAGACATTGAGACATTGAGACATGGAGACATTGAGACACTGAGACATGGAGACATTGAGACACTGAGACATTGAGACATTGAGACATTGAGACATTGAGACATTGAGACATTGAGACATTGAGACATGGAGACATTGAGACACTGAGACATGGAGACATTGAGACACTGAGACATTGAGACATTGAGACATTGAGACATTGAGACATTGAGACATGGAGACATTGAGACATTGAGACACTGAGACATTGAGACATTGAGACACTGAGACATTGAGACATTGAGACATGGAGACATTGAGACATTGAGACATTGAGACATTGAGACACTGAGACATTGAGACATTGAGACATGGAGACATTGAGACATTGAGACACTGAGACATGGAGACACTGAGACATTGAGACATGGAGACACTGAGACATGGAGACACTCCCACCACCCCTGAGAGAGCAGTGTCACCCACAATTGCGGCCACTCTGTGTTCAGACGGGCTGAGCTCCTCCTCTCAATATTTCTATTGATTATATTTCTATAATTAATTTACCTGCTAATTATTGTCTCAATAAACTGAAATGAAACTCTAGTCGAGGTCTACAATCAGATTGTTTTTATTATTGATCAACAATCGATGTAAAAACCAATAAATGATCAATTTATAATCAAACACAAAAACAACAGATAATCACAACCATTAATTGATTAGTAACTGATTGATCAGAGTTTACTGATAAAATCACATCAGACTGACACACACACACACACACACACACAGACACACACACACACACACACACACACACACACACACACACACACACACACACACACACACACATGTGACCAGGTTTTGTTCTGTGTTTCTGACAGATTCAGTCCTGTCGCCATGGAGACGAGTCCCTCTCTGTTCACCTGGAGGAGGAACCACAGAAGAAGACGACCCTCAGTGATGTCAGCGTGCCCTCAGTTCGTCCTGTCAGGCTCTCTGTCACCTCAGTGCGTCACGCAGCCTTTCTTCTTCTGGTGTTTGGCTGCGGCTCCTCCTGCAGATCAAACACACTCTGATTGGTCGGTCACAGAGACGACAAGAAACACTGAGCCCGTCACAGAGCTGATCACTGACACGTTACCTGCTGAACTGGTCCTGGACTTCTTTGCTGGTTCTGGATCATCGCTGGTTCTTCTCACCTCTGATGATGTGACCTCCTCAAAGTCAGACTCCTCTTTGTGTTCTGCGGACTCCTCCGGTCTGAGCTGGACCTCCTTCTCTCCTGCAGGACTCCTGTCCCTGGTCTTGGGGTCAGGACCACAGGAGTTCACCTCAGAGTCCTGGAGTCTGGTTCTGATCGGGTCCTGCTCGGTGTCAGCAGCAGCAGCAGCAGCAGCAGAGGTGGATGGTTCAGAGGGGTTCTGGTTCTCTGAAGGGCTTCTGTCAGTCTCAGCTGACCCTGGTTCTGGTCTTGATGTAGCTGGTGGATCTGAGGGGGTCTGGACTGTCTCTGTTGGTTCTGCAGGCTTCTCTGATTGGCTGGAAACAGTCATGTCGGACTCGTCCACAGCTGCTGACCTCAGTAGGCCCACAGGATGATCTGACGACCACAATACAGGCACAAACCTTATGGTCAAAGAGTCCATCACAGTCCCCCACAGTCTCCCTCAGTCCCCCACAGTCTCCCTCAGTCCTCCTGAGTCCCCCACAGTCTCCCTCAGTCCCCCTGAGTCCCCCACAGTCTCCCTCAGTCCTCCTGAGTCCCCCACAGTCCCTCAAAGTCCCCCTGAGTCCCCCACAGTTAGTCACAGTCCTCCTCAGTCCCTCACAGTCCTTATTAATCCCTCACAGTCCCCCTCCGTCCTCACCGTGGACTCTGCTGCCCCTCTCAGCTCGAGGTCTGGTCTTCTTCAGGTTGTAGCCCTTCCTGATCTCAGCCAGCAGGTTGTCGATGATGCAGCCTTCGTCCTGGTTGGACACGTCCTTCCTGACTGGAGGACAGACACAGACACAGAGACAGAGAAACTTTAAACTGCAGAAACATGTTTTGTTGAAATATTTAGTCGTCTCAAATGACAGACTTTGACTCACTGATCTTGTTTGTGTCTCCTTTTTGTTTCCTGTCCTCCTCCTGCTGCTTCCTCCTCTTCTCCTGCTGCCTGCGAGTCTCGTTCTCCTGACAGGAAGTCATCAGTAACGACAGGAAGTCAGCAGATTCATCAGAAATCATACAGCTGTTAGCATATACATATATACATAGACGCCGCATTGACTGCCACTGCCTATCAGAGCCGACGTCCTCGCCAGCCGCCATCTTGGATGGGTCTCGCTTCGCCTCCACAATGCATTCACTTCTATTGAGGAAGGAGCTGTATGCACAAGTAAAATAGCATAACTCACTGAATTTTTAACTGATTTTCACGCGGTTTGGTTTGTTACAAACGGCACACATATAGTTATGATACAGGATGCTTTCGTACATTAAAAATGCGGGATTTCATGCTTTAATACTTTCTGCAGATAGCAACAGCATGTTATTTAGGTCACAACACAGTTCTTTTATTCACCTCATATACATCATATNACACAATACAAAACATAGTATAGCATATTATGTATAGCACACCTTTGTGCACATATTCACTTTTCCACCAGCTGTGCTGCAAATATCCCCTGCTGCTCATCCTTCTGTATCTTTTTTCAAATTATCTTGACCACAGTCCCATTTTCATAGTTATAATACCAATACCGAAATTAATTTCAGTGTTTATGTAAATATTGAAAATGTTTTTTTACTACTTTTGAGGGATCACAGCAGTCAGTGTAATAAGAATAAGAAGAACTTTATTAATCCCCAAAGAAAATTTCAAAGAAGTCTGTAAGATCATCTATTTAACAAAGAATTATTAAGTCTGATGGCTGTGGGTATAAAAGAGAGTGAGTGTGAGAAATAAACTCAATCAACAATCAAGCTTTTCTTTATTAAAATATATTAATACATTTACTAATATGCTATACTATGTTTTGTATTGTGTATATTGTGTTTATACAGTATATATATATATGTGTGTGTATATCTATATCTATATATCTATATCTATATATATATATCGCACTCTGGGGTTGAGGTGAATAAAAGAACTGTGTTGTGACCTAAATAACATGCTGTTGCTATCTGCAGAAAGTATTAAAGCATGAAATCCCGCATTTTTAATGTACGAAAGCATCCTGTATCATAACTATATGTGTGCCGTTTGTAACAAACCAAACCGCGTGAAAATCAGTTGAAAATTCAGTGAGTTATTCTATTTTACTTGTGCATACAGATCCTTCCTCAATAGAAGTGAATGCACTGTGGAGGCGAAGCGAGACCCATCCAAGATGGCAGCCGGCGAGGACGCGGCGTCTACGTATATATGTCTATGGCTGTTAGTGTCCTACACTGCTCTGTGATTGGCTGCTGAATTCAGTGCTCTGTGATTTGCTGCTGAACACTCTACTCTCTGATTGGCTACTGAATACTCTGCTCTGTGATTGGCTGCTGACCTTGATGGCTCTGAGGAACAGGCCTCTGAAGGTCTTGATGGTGCTGAGGAGTTCGTCGATGGAGAAGCTGCTGCTGTCTTCACACAGGTAGACGGCCAGGTCCGTCCTCTTGTCTTCCACTGAGGACAACAGCTGCTGCAGCTGCTCACACATCTGCAGGCTCTCCTGAAAACAGGCCACAGGAGAGGACCGGATCAATTCAACTGATCAATCAATTCATTCTTGGGTCTGAGTGAACGTTTATGCCAAACTTGAGGAAAACCCCTCACGGCCTTCATGAGATATTATGTTCACAAGAATGGGATGGACGGGTCGTACGTACGTATGGACGGACAGCCCCAACACTAACGTCTCCGACCCGGAGACGTTAGCGTTGAGGTAAACACATTAATGTCTGGTGCTGCAGGGGGCGGAGTCAGTGCTGCCGTACCTGTATGACAGACAGGAACTGCTCCTTCACGTCGTCAGATGAACACGAAACTTTCTTCTCAGAGTTTTTCAGCTGTTTGATCAGATTGTTGCTCTCAGACTGAATCGACTCCAGACTCAACCTGCAGACGCAAACACACCACCCATCACTCCACCCGTCACTCCGTCACACACAAACACACCACCCGTCACTCCGTCACACACAAACACACCACCCGTCACTCCGTCACACACACCACCCTGACGTTAAAGATGTTCTCCTGAACAGACTCCTCACTCCGTCTGTTTTACCACAAACAACAGAGACACAGTCGACTCTGATGAATTTACCCAGCAGCCTTTTCACAGATCTCCAGGTCATCGGGCAGGTTCAACAGGTCGGGATGGTTCTGCTCCGCCTCCTGTTCATCACACAAACAACAACAACAACAACAACAACAACAACAGCTGATTCATGAGGAGCTGCAGCAACATGATGCTCTGTAAAGTGTCTACTCTCTATCTTCATAATTAGCGGGAAAATAAAAATGTTCTGGATCAATACTTCACAGATCAGTTATTGATTATTTCCATCAGTTAACAATCGGGTGTTGTTGCAGAGTGTTACCTCCAGGATGTGGTGCAGCAGCGTGATTCTGGACTTGTTGGCTTTGGTTTCTGTCAGTTTGAGCAAAGTGCTGATTTTAAAACCTTCGGCGTTCCCCGTGTGAGTCCCCTGAAGTGATGACATCACACAATGACTGATGACATCACAGAACAAGTGACATCATAACAGATTACATGAAATCACACATCTTCAGCCATCTGACGGGTTGAATTGTCTCTGACCTTTTAAGGAAGATTTTATTCATGTATTCACACCTGACATCCTCAGACTCATATTAATAACAATAAATATAAACACATTTGCACAGCACATTATATTACGTATAATATTTTATATTTTATCACCATACAAACAAAACTACACTGAGATATTTCAGATAAATAAATTGTACTGTGTGAATGTTCTCACATAGTTGAGAAAGTTTCCGACGCTCAGGATGAGTTTACAGAAGCTGGGCAGACGAGTGCTCTCCCTCACACCTGAACACACAACAATATTAATATTAATACAGATGATGACAGGTGGAGGTGAGACAGAGCAGAGGAGACTTGTCTTACATTTCAGTTCAATAACCAACAAACAGCACATTAATCACATGTGGAGTTCCTCAGGGATCAACTGTTGGTCCTCTTCTGATCTCTCACACAGTTTATTTTGTCACCTTAATTTAACCCTAACCCCCTGTCCCACTGCTCTGATGAATGAATGAATGAATGAATGAATGAATGAATGAATGAATATATTTTAGGGCTAATCAACTGAAAAGTGTGCATGCAAGTGTTAAGACATCCTCTGGAGACACAAGAAACTGAACTGAACATCTGTGTGTGTTCAGTGTGTATTTAGTGCGTATACAGACTTTGACAGGCTCGGTCCAGCAGCTCAGCTTTGGGCTTCAGATTCTCCAGCAGACAGCTGCTCTCCTCACACAGCAACATACACTCAACCCTCAGAGAGTAACTACAACACACACACACACACACACACACACACAAACATTTACAGCCACACACTAGGTGGAGCTGTTGTGTAGCTAACGGACAGAGCTAACATCAGCATGCTAATATCTGAAGAGTGAAGGATATGTAAGCATATGTAAATATCGCCAGTTAGCTTAGCATTGTAAACTACAGTCATCCCAGGTGTGACTAATGACAGTGTCTTATTTGAGCATTAGGTGGCGCCATTGTACCTGGGGACTTCCAGCAGCTGCAGGTAAAACTGATCCGCTGAGGAGAACTTGTCTCTGTCGGCCTGATGAGACCTGAGGTTTTCTATCTGAGGAAGGACAGGTGGGGTGAGATATGAGTCGGTACAGCACAGGTGAGACAGTTAAAATACAGGTGTAAAGAGGTGTTTTGGTGTCAGTGTGACCTCGTGTTTCTCCGGCAGCAGTTTGATCAGCTGTTTCAGGACCTCCACATCAAACCTGGACCGGTCTCCTCTCCGGATCAGAGACACAAAGTCCTCATGAGAGCTGCAGGAGAGACAGGCAGGAAACAGGTGAGTGTGATGTCACTGCAGAGATCTGTTTCTAATGGCTGACAGACTGACTGACAAGAATCACCATTTGAACTGCTTCAGGAAGATGTTGAGGTTCAGACTTTTCTTGGCATCGATGAAGGAAATCTGTAGACGAATTAAACAATGAGGAAAAGAAGACAGAGTGGACATTACTGCTGCTGTCTGTCTTCGTCAGGTGTGAGACATGTAAAACTGTCGTACCTCTTTGGGCTCAGTCTTGGCTTTGGTTCTGGTCTTGGTCTCAGTCGGAGGGAGACTGAAGAGCTGCTCGATGCTGCAGTAATCCGGTTCCACCGACTCTATAGACGCTGATGTCCACAAGGACTGATGAGCTACGGAGAGACGGATGGACACAAGTGATCCACGTATGAAGACCAGAGACCTGGATCAGACCTGGTCCACACAGGATGGACTATATGAAGGTAAAACCTCAGGACACTCACCTGTCAGCGCTCTGGACGGAAGTTTCTGCCAGTTCAGTTTCTTCATACGGAGGGTGGGGCAGGGGGCGGAGCTGTAGAACGACCTGCCCAGAGTCTGAACTGTCTGGGGTACGATGAAGTCACCTGGGGGAGGGGGAGGGGCTCCCATACCAGGTAAGGGTGGAGGAGGGGGAGGAGCTCCCATACCAGGTAAGGGTGGAGGAGGAGGAGGGGGAGGAGCTCCCGTACCAGGTAAGGGAGGAGGAGGAGGAGGAGGAGGAGGAGGAGGAGGGGGAGGAGCTCCCATACCAGGTAACGGAGGGGGAGGAGGAGGAGGAGGGGGAGGAGCTCCTGTACCAAGTAAGGAGGGAGGAGCCTCCACTCCAGGTGAGGGGACAGAAGGAGCACCTGGGGCAGCAGAGGGACTGTCTGGTAGTTGAGTCTGAACTGCCCTGTCGATGGTTCGGATCTTCTGATTGGCTGAGAAGACCTTCCGGGGGAGGAGCCTCTCCAGCAGACTGTCAGCAGAATCTAAGTCGGCTACAAACACACAGGTGTTACAGTGACCACCTTTCAGCAAGGCAACAACATTTTGGAAAGTAACAGCTGTTTCACACCAAGTGCAAATTTATGTCCAAAAAATCTGCACAGAAACATATAAAAACTTTTTCCATGGATTCTCTTGAACGCCTGCTCAGCTCTGTGGATAGTTCACGCAGAGGAAAAAATGTGTTCGACCAATGAAATCCTTTGTCCCTGGTGATGTCACAGCTTCAGACCATTGCTGCCAAAATGGGGAATGTCTTATAAATGTTATAAATGTTGTCTTATATTTTGTTGATAACTTTTGGAAAGTTAAAGCTGTTTCACACTGTTAACGTGACAGACATCAAACACGCCTAATTATTAAACCGTACCAGGTAAGGGAGGGGGAGGGGGAGGAGGAGGAGGAGGAGGGGGAGGCCGCCATCAGACCGCCGGGTGCTCGTCTGTCAGACCTTAGTCGCACAGTCCTTCCCTGGCTGGCGTCATGTAGCACTCCATGCTGCTGTCATATTATGATGGCAGTAGACCTGGGCATATAACGCTATACCAGGGTATATAAACAGGTCGGTATAACTTTATAACTTCCAATTCTGTCAGACATACAGACGAGCGACTGTACTGAGGATGTTCTGCATGTAGTTCACATTACACACCACCAGAGGTCAGTGTGGTGCAGGAGGCAGCTGAACTGACTGCAGGGACGGCGCAGCACAAATACTGTCATGCACCGTGTACCCCAGTGACACGCAGTCACGGAGGGGTGATTGTTCATCAGATCGTTAGCTCTGCTGTTTGGAGCAGCTGAGTGGTGGAGTTGTTACGTTAGCAGACGTCAGACATATATCATACATGTTATGTACAGATTCTCCCAACAGACCATGGAAAGAGAAGTGAAACGTCAGGAGAATCTTCGACAGAGAGAGTATCTCGGAGAAACCAGACTTTGTGTCAGTGGATGTCTGTTTGGTTGAATGGACACATTTTGGAGGAAACTCGTCACTGAATTGTTTTTAATGTGGAACACAGCAGTGGTGACTCACAGCAGACCTGATGTGCAAAGCTGGAGACTGAACCGGACTCACACCAGTTTTCAAAGCAGAGGAAACAGACCCCAGGATATTTAGATCCCCGACAGTACAACATGAACCCATTACACTGAATATGATTTGAACCTGGTCCTGGATCAGGTATTGATTCCCCAGAACACCGTGGACCCATGAAGACCTCCACTGTTACCCCTTTCCACCAAATGAGCTCTGGTTCTTGAACCAGTTCTGTTCAGGACTCATGAAACCGTAGTGCTGTCCAGTGAACCAGCCAACGTCTCCACCAGTTTTGAGCAGAACCATTGTGGTCAAGTAAACAGTGGTTTTTATCCCCAAAAACAACCATGAACCAGTCGTTAATGAGACTCTGTGTCTCAAGACTTCTCCGTCCTCTCTTTACAACCTGTGAATATGACACGCCCACTGATGTCGTCACAGTTTGCACCTCAGGTTCTGAACCAGTTTATTTATGAACAAAATGCTCTGAACAGATCAAGTGTAGGAACCTAAACAGAACCGGTTGCATGTTGTTGGGAAGGAGTTTGTGAGGACAACATCCTGGTCACTGATGTTTGGATACGAGCGTTCAGACTTACAGTCCTGGGACAGCAGCGTGGCGCGGTCAGCCAGCAGCTCCAGAGCTAACCACACCTCAGCTCTGTCCGGATCCACCAACAGCAAGGCCTGGAGGATGGACAGCAGCTGGACAGAGGACGGACTGCTGGACATCTGGACAGACAGAGAGACGGACGTATGAGTCTTTGCAAAATGTGGTTTGGCATCAAATAGCTCCCAGACTGAAAGAGGTCAGAGCTCTGTTTTACAGGTGGAGGTGAAGGTGGTGTTTAACCTCCGGAGTCCTCAGCTTTGGTTTGATTGAGCTCGTTGGGATCAGAAGAACCTGATGAGTATAAAACACTACGCACTGTCTTTGAACAGGAAGTAGATTTGTAATTAACAACGTCCTCATATTGGGACGACGGGTTTATCTCTAACAGTCACAGCGTGAAATAAATGACAAAACAAAGTCTTATGATTTGTTCAATGTGTAACTCTGAATGAGTTTTCCTTCATTCAGACTCCAAGCTGGGAATGTCCTTTTGTCTGTCTCACCTAACTGGCCCCAGTGTCCTCACATGAGACAATAATAGAGTAGAAAGATGATAATAAAGATACTAATTTAGTAATGAGACACTAATTAAGTCCCAGTGTCTTTAAATGAGACATTAATAAAGACCCAGTGTCCTCAAACGAGATGATAATAACGTACCCAGACAATAAAGACGTCCTGATGTCCTCATACAAGTTCTTCCTATTTAACAGCGTCTTATCTTGTTCCTGTTGCTGAAATTGGTCGCGTGTTGTCATATCAAACCACAAACATTATTAAACATATATGAGCAATTTTGAACCATAACATGTGATCAAGTTTTGTCCACATTTGTGTCGGGGTCAGCTGCAGACTGACTCGGCAGAGATGGCGGCCATCTTGTTTTTACATGGTTTAGTGAATTGTGGTCTCGCTACCACCAGATGGCACAAAAAGTGTCCAGGGACGAGGACAACGTGTCCGAGTGCAGCAGGATGAAGTGTAAGGAGCAGCAAACCCAATGTGCCGTCCTCACACAAGGACACAGGGTCTCAGGAGGATAAGGTAAAGTGGAGAGTTAGGTGAAGATGTTGAAGTTGAATGTGGAGGTGTTGGAGGTGGAGGTGTGGAGGGTGGAGGTGTGGAGGGTGGAGGTGTTGGAGGTGGAGGTGTGGAGGGTGGAGGTGTGGAGGGTGGAGGTGTTGGAGGTGGAGGTGTGGAGGGTGGAGGTGTTGGAGGTGGTGTTGTTTTGCAGGTGCAGGTGAACCTTACCTTGGTAAAGAGCGAGGTGAAGACCTGCTGGTGGCTGCTCATGTCGATGCCTCCGTACAGTCTCTCCATCTCCTCCTCGTCCATCGTCAGAGAGTCCTCGAACGCATCACATTGGATGTTCAGGTCCTCGTCCTCCGTCTCCCTGGAGACAGAGACAGACTGAGGTCACACACTGAGGGACATCATGTTGATTATTGATTATTAATAAGAATCAGTACCTCAGTCTGGGCAGGACGTCCAGCAGCTGCAGGCCTGAAACAACATGTTGTCAGTCAGAACAAAACCCAACCCTTCTTTTCACATTGTTATGTTATCATCATCATCATCATCATCATCATCAGTGACGTGTTGAAGGATCGTCGTACCGATGAACTCCTGTCGCAGGCGGTCCCTCCTCCTCAGGTCCTCTTGTCCCAACAAGAGGACATTGACGACGCTCATCAGCGTCACCATGTACGGGACGTTATCGGTGCCGTGCAGCTCGTTCATGATCACACTGAAGCGATACTGCTGCTTCTTCAGACTCTGGACACAAACACAGGACGTCGCACAGCTCTTTAGATTCAGCGGAGCACAAAGACAACATCAGAAGACATCTGCTCTTAATGAAACTATTAAACCAGCCAAGTTCCAGCCAAGCTGACCTTTGACCTTCTGACCTTCATTATTTCATCCTGTTAGACAGTTGTGTCAAGTTTGGTCAGAATTAGTGTTTAAATTCTTGAGATATGGACAGAAACATGTTTTGTGAGGTCACACTGACCTTTGACCTTTGACCACAAAATTCTAAGTTTATTCAGTTTATTCTTCAGTCCAGGTGGACGTTTGTGCCAAATCTGGGATGTCCCCTAAAGGCATTCGTAGATATTGCGTTCAAGAGAGATGGACACCAGGTCACAGTGACTAGATTTCGGTGGTCAAAGACCAAGTTCATCGTAAACTCCACGTGGACGTTTGTGCCAAAGACAAAAGACAAAAAAATGAGACAGAGGAGAGGACAACCCTGACACACAGGGCTCACGCACATTTTCAAGGACAAAATTTCCAAACTTTTCCAAGACTTTTCAAGGGCCCATGATAAAGGTTTTGTTCTTGCCTCACTAACCTGCTGTTTCTCATGCGCATCAGATTTAAATATAATTTCAGGTGGCTGTCGCACAGGAAGGGAGTGACACACCCAGGAGGAAACAATGCGACGTACACCGTGCTCAACAAAACATCACACATCGACAGCTGCAGGAAGTTAATCTGCCGTTATCTTACAGAACATGGAAGGTTCCACACAGAAGACCACTGCAACTATTTCTGTACACACAACAAAATTCCACGAGCTTTTCAATACTTTTAGTGACTTTGACTAATTCCAGGACTTTCCAGGCCTGGAAAATGTGATTGTGAAATGTCATGACTTTTCCAGGTTTTCTATGAGCTCAGAGGCTGAGGGATCTGTAGGTGATATTTCAGGTGTTTGGCTGAGGTGCAGTAATAAAACCTCTCTGGCCGACAGGACGGCAGAAATCTGATATGTGGAGAGAGTTGTTGTTCTCCCACAGGAGAGGACGGACAGGTAAGTTCTTGCCCACCTGATGACAGTCTACCATCATGCCACAGCTCTGTGTAGAACAAGCCTGGGCGAAGTCAGTACCAGGAACACGCCCGACTTGTGAGGTGTTGTGAGGTTTGTTGGGAGTCTTATCAGCAGTCACACCCTGCTGTCACACACTCACCGATAACTCCACAAAGAGAAGCTTTCAGAGCTGAACCTGTTCACATGCCTGTGTCACGGCTGCAGGTCACTTTCATGTGGATTAAACTGTGCAGCAGTGACGGCGCAGATTTCTTTACATCTTATCAATCGTAATGTTTCACAGAGACAAACACAGACTGAGCAGAGCTGAAGTATCTGATGTTGTTCATCTGACACTCTGACAGGCAGCAGGAGACTGGACGACTCAAACATGTTTCACATAAACACACAAACATCAGATTTTGTAATAATCTAGACGGCAGTGGAGAACAGACAGGAAGTGCACACCAGACCTGAAGTAATTTGACCTTTCCATCTGGAAGCAGCTCAAAGCATCTGTGAACATGTTCAAGCAGTTGCTGAACACATTTGTACAGCGCCCTCTTTTTAGGCGTGGGCCATGTTTCACAGGTATGATCACCATCTTAGCTTAGCATGTTAGCATCAGGGCTGACGTGAATGCTTCAAAGCTTGATTGTTGCCATGGCAATCACCGTTCAATTGAATTAGATTTAGAATTGCTCCCTTTCTATGTTTACACATATGTTGGAACCATATGTTTGATTTTAGTGAAATGTAATATCCCGCCACGCCACTAGGTGGCTTACGTCACTGGCTGAGGCAGGACATGGTATTTAAGTTCATGCCAGTGTTCAGAAGCAAACAGTTTATATGGCTGTTGTTATTATCCGGACATTATGGACCCTGGCGATGATGATATACAGGACTGGTAAAGATTGGGACGAGTTTCTGAGAACACATCTAAACTATTCAGCCGGTTAGCAACCAGTAGCGGTTAAAGTACAGGGCTGGTCACTACAACATGTATATGTATATGTATGCTTATCATGCATCAACATGAAATTATTTGATAGATTTTATGTGATCACTGCACACTTTCTAGATGTTTTGGTTTCAAGTCTGATTTCTGTCTTCACCCCTCATCCAAATAAAAGCTAAAGTATCTGTAACGTGAAGAGCTGACTGTGTGTGGTTACCTTGTAGTGGTCGAGGGCGTCCAGGGCCAGGTGGTGTCCCTGAGGGTCAAACAGAGCGAGGGCCGCCAGCAGCTCAAACACCTGCATCTTCACCATGACGTTAGACGTGTCCAGAGCTGAGGGGACACATGTGAACACAGGGACAGGTCATGTGACTTCCTAACAGCCAATAGGAACTCACAAAGTAAAAACATGAGTCAGGAGTTTGATTCACCTGAAGAACCAAAGAAAAAGGAAGGAGGGCAGATGGAAGGACGGATGGACCAAAGGAAGGAAAGAGGGACTGAAATACTGGAACAAGGACACATGGGAGAATGTAGGACCACTAGGAAGAGAGATGGACCAATGGGAAGAGAGATGGACCAATGGACAGAGAGATGGACCAGTGGGAAGAGAGATGGACCAATGGGAAGAGAGATGGACCAATGGGAAGAGAGATGGACCAATGGACAGAGAGATGGACCAGTGGGAAGAGAGATGGACCAATGGACAGAGAGATGGACCAATGGACAGAGAGATGGACCAATGGACAGAGAGATAGACCAATGGACAGAGAGATGGACCAATGGACAGAGAGATGGACCAATGGAAAGAGAGATGGACCAATGGAAAGAGAGATGGACCAATGGAAAGAGAGATGGACCAATGGAAAGAGAGATGGACCAATGGAAAGAGAGATGGACCAATGGAAAGAGAGATGGACCAATGGAAAGAGAGATGGACCAATGGAAAGAGAGATGGACCAATGGAAAGAGAGATGGACCAATGGAAAGAGAGATGGACCAATGGAAAGAGAGATGGACCAATGGAAAGAGAGATGGACCAATGGAAAGAGAGATGGACCAATGGAAAGAGAGATGGACCAATGGAAAGAGAGATGGACCAATGGAAAGAGAGATGGACCAATGGAAAGAGAGATGGACCAATGGAAAGAGAGATGGACCAATGGAAAGAGAGATGGACCAATGGAAAGAGAGATGGACCAATGGAAAGAGAGATGGACCAATGGAAAGAGAGATGGACCAATGGAAAGAGAGATGGACCAATGGAAAGAGAGATGGACCAATGGAAAGAGAGATGGACCAATGGAAAGAGAGATGGACCAATGGAAAGAGAGATGGACCAATGGAAAGAGAGATGGACCAATGGAAAGAGAGATGGACCAATGGAAAGAGAGATGGACCAATGGAAAGAGAGATGGACCAATGGAAAGAGAGATGGACCAATGGAAAGAGAGATGGACCAATGGAAAGAGAGATGGACCAATGGAAAGAGAGATGGACCAATGGAAAGAGAGATGGACCAATGGAAAGAGAGATGGACCAATGGAAAGAGAGATGGACCAATGGAAAGAGAGATGGACCAATGGAAAGAGAGATGGACCAATGGAAAGAGAGATGGACCAATGGAAAGAGAGATGGACCAATGGAAAGAGAGATGGACCAATGGAAAGAGAGATGGACCAATGGAAAGAGAGATGGACCAATGGAAAGAGAGATGGACCAATGGAAAGAGAGATGGACCAATGGAAAGAGAGATGGACCAATGGAAAGAGAGATGGACCAATGGAAAGAGAGATGGACCAATGGAAAGAGAGATGGACCAATGGGAAGAGAGATGGACCAATGGGAAGAGAGATGGACCAGTGGGAAGAGAGATGGACCAATGGACAGAGAGATGGACCAATGGGAAGAGAGATGGACCAATGGGAAGAGAGATGGACCAATGGAATGGAGGAGGTGACCAGATGAACCCACCCTGGGTCAGGGTCCTGACGTAGCCCTGGTTGTCCAGGATGAAGTGCAGTCCTTCTGATGAGTTCATGACGGCTCGGATGCAGGCAACGCACGTCAGCTGCAGCAGAGCGTCAGCGATGCGAGAGCAACCACGACCGGACAGACGTTCCAAAGCCTCCATCAACAGGTCCAGACCCCGCAGCTCCAGGAACTGCACCATCCAGGCCTGATCGCATGCCTCCAACCGCCGCCGCAAACCAGAGTAGTTCACCACTGTGGGAACCTGAGGGGGTGAAGGAGAGGTCAGACTGAGACATGATGGTTAAACATGGAGCGGCTGCTCCTTTAACAGGAGAACTTCCTGCAGTGTCCACCAGGTGTCAGCAGTCCTACCTGCAGCAGTCTGATGCAGAGTTCGGGGTCAGCGTTCTCCAGATTCGCCTCCAGCGTGGCATCAGGGTCGTGGGCGGGACTTCCTGTCACCCGGTCCTTTACTGTCCCCCATTTGGTTTTGGCTGCCATGATGACGAGAAGCTGCAGAGAGACGAAAACTTTTATTGATCTTAAAACATCCAATCAGCTTCTGCCTGTTGGTCTGATGCTCACTGATTGGTTTTTATTTTCAAGATTAAAATCATTGTTTTATTTTTTTCTCCACTGATTTATTGTTTGATCTATTAAATGTCTGAAAACTGTGAAAAATATCCAGATACGCAGTGACTGCAGAGTGAGCGCTCTGGACTTTCTCATCACTCTTTGGTACACACAGCTGCAGACACACAGGACCAGAGACTTTCCACCGTCAGACTCTGAGAGAACACTGTCCTCTCTCTTCTGCTGGGAATCTACAGCTCACAGACACTCAGGGTGTTTTCAGCCGTCTGAACAGACTCAGAGCAGTGACTCAGCATTTTTTGTGCATATGTGAACACTCCAAGAGAACTCAGACCCCTCTGAAGAGAACCGGCGAGGTTCAAGTCCTCAGTGCAGTTCACTGAACCTGTGACCTGAACACAAAGCGCTCCAGGTTCACTTTGCTCTCTGCCGTCGTATTCAGCCCTCTGGATCACATGATGGTGACCTGGGACACCTGAAAAACAGATGAAACCATGTCGGCCTGTAACGCTGACAAGGACGCAGGGCGAGGAGCAGCTTGGTCCACGGGAGATGCTGCACATCTCTAGATGTGGAACGTAGAACACATCAAACAGACACACTCAGGGTCGAGGGCTTTAATAACCTCACTGCAGCGTTGGTCCACTTCTTGGCGCACTTTCACAGGACTGAGTTTAGTTCATGTAAAAATGAGACTTTTCACGGTACAATAAAATGTCAGAAAATAAAGTGGTTCAGAGGTTTCACAGAGTTGATCTCATTATCATCAGACTGATCGTTAAAGGAATGAAAACATGAGGGTGAGTTTGGCTGAACAAATGTTTTATTACTAAAACTGAAACTTCAAACTTTAAAACTTTAAATGGGAAAAAACAAGTTGTTGAATATTTGTATCGAGCAGATGAATCTGATTGGACTGACATCACTTTGAGTCGAGCACAGACGTGATGACTCATGATATACAGTGAGAACTTTTCTTGTGTTTCAGTCTGAAGTGATACATGAACTTATTGTTGCAAAGAGCTGACGCAGGATTTCAGGATCAGTGAAGAAGAATATTTGTGTCAGCTGATCGTCAGTGTTTGAACAAACCATCATTGTCCTCTGACTCTGTGGTATGTGTGTGTGTGTGTGTGTGTGTGTGTGTGTGTGTGTGTGTGTGTGTTATAAATGTGCAGCTCAACATGTTTCTTTCTGCTGTTTTCATGTGAAGCTCGTCAGCTGAAACGGTCTGTTAATCCATCGAGTGAAAATCAGTCTGAAACTGTTCCCTCGTTCTTTGAGCAGAGATAAAAACATTTGCAGGTTCACAGTCACAAACACTTTGTCTTTGTCAAACTGAAAGTCTTTGAGTTTCTGACTCAACAAAGTGGACTTTGAGAGAAACTATGAACTGAGCCTGTTTCCTTTCTGTCACTGCACGTTAAACACTTCCTTCTGAAAGTGCAGCTCAGCAGCTTCCTGTGGGATTGAAGACTGAAATAACGTTCAGTTTGAGCTATAATAAAAAATAACTGCTGTCTGGTGACTTTTGGGTCAAACACTCCCACTGTTTTGTCTCTCAGGCGTGAACAGGTAAAGCTGTGATGACAGACGGAGGGGGTGGAGAAATTCCTTCACGCCAGCGGAGGTGTAGCTGATGAAGAGTCTGTTGGTCTGCTGATAACGTCTCAGTCATCATAACTTTATTTAGACCCAGTTAAATACAAACACTTGAAGAAGAGTTAAAGTCTTTATTTTCAGCTCAGTGTGTGTTTGTAAAGTTTGACTGAAACTTTTTCCTTTTTGCTGTTTTAAATATACAGATTCTGTTTTAATGACTTTTTTTCCTACTTTGTGCTTTTTGTTCTTCAAAAACAAAAAAATGAAACATGTTCCTGAGTTTCCTGATCCATGGCTCTGATTGGCCCCACGTGTTCAGGTGTGCAGAGACTCACCTTGTTCTGACTCCATCAGGATAATAAACAACTGACTGTGGCTCAACACATTTATCTGAAGCCTACAGACTGTCGCTGGACCAAATAATAACTGATTTATGTCTTTAGAATTTTTAAATTTTTTTGTTCTTTAAAAAAAAATTGGAAGATTTTTTTTTAAAATGTATTTTTGATTGTTGTTTTTTTTCTTTAAAGTGTTTGCCAATTTTTGAAGAAAACAAAAAATTGGGGACTGTTTTGTCTTTAAAACTTTCTGGTGATTTTTTTTTTAATTAGAAATTTTTGTTTAGTTTTTTAAATTTAATACGCATTAACCTTTTGAAGAATTATTTTCTTTAAAAATTTAAGACAGTTTCTGAGAAAACTAAAAATCTGGGTGACATATTTCTCTTAAAAAAATGTGTGTGTGGTTTTTTTGCTCTTTTAAAGTTTTTGGCAACTTTTTCCTTGATTTTCTTTTCTCTACATTTATTTGTAACTTTTTTAGTTCTTTAAAATGTTTAGTGAATATTGGAGACAGATTTTTTTGTTCTTCAACAATTTTTGGCAATTGAAAAAAAAAAACAACCAAGCTACAAGCTGCTCTGATAAGTTAAGAACAGTCCCTAACTTTGAAGAAATCACTGGCAAAAAACAAAACAGTTTCTCAACGGGCAGATTTTGTTGTGTTAGAAACTAAAATATGTTTTAAAAAGTGTAAAAAATCTGAGAACTAAACATCAGATATTATTTGTAAGACAGAAATGTTCAGTGAAGAAACAAGAAGAAGAAAAACTGAGTGATAAATTATCTCAAGTCAACTGAATTGAACACAACTGGACTTGGTTTTGTCTTAGAAGACGTTTCACCTCTTATCCAAGAGGCTTCATCAGTTCATGCTTGTCTGACTAGGCTGGAACTAGTCTGACAAACTGGTGTGGAAACAACCCAGGTATTTAACCTCTGTGGAGGTCTTCACAAGGCCAATGATGTCACTGGTTCATTAGTGCTCCAATGGTGTGTCAACTACAGTCACTGAAACTCCTGCTGCACCGCTGCAATTGGAGTCGTTAGAGTCAAATGAGGCCATTTGTGAACGACTGTTGTTTTTAGAGGTTAAGTTGTTAAACCTCCTGGGCAAGGATGAAAGGACAGCATTATAGGTGGGGGATAGGTGGTGTCGCAGACCTCCTCCTCCATTGAGAGATGGCTTTTCCAATTTCACATAGATGGCTTCTTTTTCTTTTACACCACCTTTACACCTCTTTTACACTCAAAGTCCGTGTTTACTGATTGATTTAAGAAGAAGAAGAAGGCTGGAAGTGAATCACAGAGACTGAATGTGTTCACTGATCATTATCAATGAGCACTCAGAAACATGTGTTGAGAGTGTTTCCTGAGGTGGAGGTTTCTGTGTGACCCACCCAGCTGACTGGCACTGTGCCCAGGCTCGTTCCTCCACCTCTGACTGAACCACACCAGACTCCATTTGAAATTCACTCAATTTAATGTTTGTTTGACCTTCAGCAGAAGAGCTCACAGACTACAACACAGCTTTAAACTCTGTCCAAACACAAACGGTATTATACTCAATTCTGCATCGTTAGGATTCACCAATAAGCTCTTTATTTTTATTAAACACATTTTTAAAAAGTCACCTGAAAACTGGTGCCGCTGTTTGCTGCAGTTCACCGCCGTTTGCTGTAGCGGATCCTGGTGTTACAGCAGCGATCACAGCGGATATTAAAGTCTTTTTAAAACGTAAATAAGACTGTGTGACAGATTGAACCCATGCCGAGTGACAGTGTGGTCCGGGACGGTTCACGTGTTGGGCTCGCTTAAATAAATCCAGAGGTGTGTTTTCGCCAAAATGCGGAGACGTTTTAAAATCGCAGTTTTTCAGACGAAGTTCGGCAGCAAGAAGAAGACACACACACATCACACATGACTTTATCTGCTCACAGAAACTCTGCCCCGTTAAATGGCACACACACACACACACGCACACACACACACACACACACACACACACACGTTTATAATATATTTACCGTGATGCTCAGCGGGAGGCGGCTCAGCTGGATCCGCACCGTGAGGACCGGAGACTCTCTCCGTTAACACAGAGTTCAGCAGCGGACCGACTGTTGGTGACAGCTCAGCAACTCTGCGCTGAATCACAGCTGCAGTCCTCAAACACGTCCGCCTGATGTGGGCGGGGTCAGAGGTCACGGCGGTGCCAGCCGCCGCACACAGTTACTAATGTAACTCCGGTTCTATGAGTTCACACACTGACCACCACCAGTGACATCACACAGTAAAGCTGCTTCTTCTTCTACTGCCGGAAATAAATGATAATAAATAATGTTTCTCCTCCATCAGACTGTTGTGACGTGTTTATAAAAATGTTTATATAAATGATCAAAAAGGCAGTGTTTGGATCAGTGGAGAGAAGTTCAGTTGTTTTTAACTGTGGCTCATTCCTGCTGTCATCAGCAGACTTGGCGTGCTCACCCAAAAGTCTCAAAGTGTCACTGGGTCCAAAAAATCACAGCAAAGCAGAAAAACCCGACAGAACTCACTAATGAGAATAATTCTTTTAATATAGTGCAGCAGCTGTGAAACAGATGCTGCACTATGAGGACGGCTATGAGCTGAGAGCTCACCTGTGTTCAGCTCACCTGTGTTCAGCTCACCTGTGTTCAGCTCACCTGTGTTCAGCTCACCTGTGTTCAGTTCACCTGTGTTCAGCTCACCTGTGTGAGGACAGTTTTTCTCCTGAGGAAACAATGACCTCTTCTTCTTCTTCTTCTTCTTCTTCTTCTTCTGCTTCTTCTTCTTCTTCTTCATCTCTGAAGTCATGTTTTCATCACCTCGGTCCTCTCAGACTTCCTGTTTCTGATTCCTGGGAAATGACAAGTTATAAAATTCTCTGTCATGTTTCTTAAACTTTCACTGAGTCAGTGAAACGTCCTGTTTGCTGTCAGGGTGTGTTCAGCTCTGTGGTGTAGGTCTGCTCTCTGTCCACCAGGTGGCGCTGACTGACCATCTAATGCTAGTTCAGATTTCTGTTCTGAAACTCATACAAACAGCTCATATTCAGATAAAGCTCATCTGCATATTTAAAACAACCCCTCAGAAACTTTTGATCCAAATAAATTAATTGTCGTGAGAAATGAACTGAAGAAGTTTCATGGTGAGATTTATTAGTTAAATATTCACCTGCTGTGTTTTATCATTTCACATCACAGATCTCTAAAGGCAGTTTTCTCAGAATGAGACATAAATGTTCATCTCAGTTTGATCCTGTTTGTATCCTGAAGGTTTTTACAGCCTGATTAATAAAACATCTTATTCATAAAAAAAACATTTAATCTAATGTCAGTGTTTCCTGACCTATGGAGAGATAAAACAGAAATCAAACCTCCCTCTGCATCATAACCAACGTGTGACTGAGTCATGAGCTTGTTTGTCTTTAGACGTCGCTGTGTTTGAATCGTTGTTGTTTTATTTGTTGCATTTTAATGTGCTCTGATTGGCTGCTGCCTCCCACAGGTCTCTAAAAGACATTTTCAGTCTCAGTGAGACTTCCTGCTTAAAATAAATAAATAAATAAATAAATAAAATCCATTGACTGTAATGTGTCAGCAAAATGAAGAGAGAGTTATGAACCTGACTTTATCCAGTAATCAGATTTCTGCTCTTTAAAATTATGCTAATAAATGTATGTTAATTAGTTTAAACCTTATTTACATATTTAAATTAAAAAAAGTTAAAGTGATAATTGTTTTAATGTGAGTAATGAACTGGTTTGATGGTTTCCTCTTTATTCTTTATTTATGTTCTAATATTCAGTGTGAACAGACGTCACTGTGACACTGCAGATATTAATATAAGATACAACTAAGGTCATCAATCAATCAATCAATCAATCAATCAATCAATCAATCAATCAATCAATCAATCAATCAGTCAGTCAGTCAGTCAGTAACAAAACTGCATCAAAAGCTCAACAAACAACTTTTTCCACTGGAATAAAACAGTTTTTATTCATCACAAAATAATAAATGATAATAAACATATTGATCAGAGAAGTGACGGAGGATCATTCAACAGGTGTAAAGTGATCACATGATCAGTCACAGCCAATCAGAGACAAGGATTCAATCTTTCTTTATCAACAGTCGTCTCACTGAACCACAGAAATGATTTAAGGTCCAACACAGAGGAGGATTCATTAACCCCTCGCTGACTCATGACTGGAGAACTTTGACAGACACACTTAAATCCCCCCTTTAGACGTGTTTTAAAATGCGTCACAATACTCTGATGGGATTAATATTTTTACCACATAAAAAGTATATAAAAACTCTAACATGGGGCCAGTGATTTAAAAACAGAACATATAAAATCCTCCACAGCAGACACATGTTCACATGTTGAACAACAACGACAGAAAATACACCACATGACAGGAAATTAATAATCATATAAAAATAAAGACAGTAATCAAGTTGTTTAATTTACAAAACTCACACACATTTAACACAAATATTATAAATAATACAACAACACAAAAACAAATTTAAGCAGTTTCACCATTTTCTCTCTTTTAACCTCCGTTACCTGACCGAGACAGAAATCATGTCAGCTCCATCTTTATACACAACAACAGAAACCCTCTCGTGTTAAATACTTCTGTCTCAGTGCGAAAAATAATTCTGGATTTTGGACAAAATAAAGTTTGAGAGCACATCGGCCTGATTTCTGTCTCATGAGCAGAAGGTGACGAGCAGCTACAGAAGAAATGACGCAAGAAAAAATACTGCAAGAAATTTGTGAAGAGAGAAAATTGAAAACAAGAAAATTACAACAAACAGAAAATGACATAAAAAGTGCTTAAAAATGAAATTAAAGACATTCTGTAACATAATTTTAAACTTAATAATGATCATAAATAGTTTCCTCTTCAGATTTTTTCTTTACTCTGCTTTAAAATTTGTTTATTTTCTAAATAATCTCTGAATTGGGACATTTCCTGCCACGCTGCTCATCGCCTTTATAATGTTTTAGAAAGAAATCAGACCAGTTTCCTCTCAGCGTTCAAAGGGTTAAATATTTGTGAGACATGTCTGAGAGCAGCAGAAGAAAAGTGACGTCACTCCAGGTGTTAAAGGGTTAAAGGAAGCTGAGGAGAGGAAGCGTGACGGCGGCAGCTCACAGAGAGAAAACACATCACATTAAAATTATTAATCTAACTTTGATAATAAAACACAGACACAGAATCATCACAGCTCACCTGAGGGAAACACACAGTCCAGGTGAGTCCAGGTGAGTCCAGGTGAGTCCAGGTGTCTGTGTCCTCTGCCTGATGACAGTTCCTTGCCTCAGGTCCAGTGGTCCTAAACATTTCACAAATGTTGTTCAGTCCTGTTGAAGTGTTGAGAACCACTGGACCCGAGAGGACGAGCCGCAGAGTGAGACGCTGTGAGACGTGTCCTCAGGTATTTACAGCCTCGTCCTCCTCCCAGACTGGTCCTCTATTACCTGTCTGACAGGTGACACACCAGAGCTGTGGTCACGTGACTCGACTCACCTGTTCTGCCTTCAAGTTTATACACCTGTCTGTCTCACCTGTCTGTCTCCCCTGTGTGTTTCACCTGTCTGTCTCCCCTGTCTGTCTCCCCTGTCTGTCTCCCCTGTGTGTTTCACCTGTCTGTCTCCCCTGTCTGTCTCCCCTGTCTGTCTCCCCTGTGTGTTTCACCTGTCTGTCTTCAAACCCACTAAACTTTATTTGAACCCTTTAAAATGTGCCGTTCAGAAGCATCAGAGGGACCTCATGGTTTCTCCTGACTCCTCTGAGCAACACTTTGATGAACTTTAAATAGTACCTTAAACATAAGACCAAGATAAGGGGAAAAGTTAAGGAGAAGACATAAGGATGTTTTGTGAAACTGATTTGATTTAAAGGAAAATAATAATAATGAGAAACTTAATTTAAACAGCAGCTACGTATCGCACAGCACACGTGATCAGCTCTGAGTGTTTCATCTAAAACAGACAAACGAGGACATTCAACATTAAAAGGACATTTACACACAGTTTAAACAAAAATGAACTGATTCATGTAAAGTGGTGATCTGAGATCTGATTCATCCAAATCTCATGTAGAAATTCTTCTTGTGTTACTTTCAGGCCTCAGACGTCACTAACAATCTGAGCCTGTAACTCCCAACAGACACAGACTCACTGAAATCAGCATCTGTCAGACCCCTGAACGTCTCCTTGGGAGTTCACCTTACTGTGGGTATCGTCTGTGCCGGGTCCGGCCCACAGCTGGCCCACGAAATATTCACTTGAGGTGCAACTGGCTTTAAAGGTCTAACAAACATCAGTTTTAAATTAAAATCAGTTTGATTTAAAGGGCCAGTGTGTAATATTTGGCATGGTTTATTGTCAATCTGAATCTGAATATTCTACCCATTAATATGTTTATACAAGTGTATAATCGCTATAAAATAAAATTCGCTTGGTTTTCGTAGCCTTATAATTATACGTTTTTATATATATATATATATATATATATATATATCAAGGGCCTTGCTTTAGAGAGGTCGCCATCTTGCGCCGCCATGTATGTACGGCAGACCGAGTGGACAATCCAGCCAGCCAGAGAACGCGTTTCACGTGTATAAATGAACCAATGAAGACAGCGGAAGGAAGGAAGAAGGAGGAGGAAACAGCAGAGTGTTAGTAGTTCGTCGATGGAGAGTAGTGAAAAGTTTTTTTAGTTATAAAGTTTGCGAATGGACCACACTTACCACGCAACAGGAGAGAATGAACCCGAACCGTCATCTGCGAGGAAAAGAAGACGCAGCTTCACTCCTTGTGATGCACTCTCTGCGGCGCTTTTCCTCCTGATGATATATCTCCCCAACAATGGCAGCAGTAGCACCGAATCCCATTCTGTGCATTCAGCCTCTCTTCTCACCCGCTCAGCATCAAACACATGGAGTTCCTCATCTGTATGCTCCGGCTCAAACAGGTATGGCTCTGGGTCTGTGTCCGCTACAAGAAACTCTTCAAAATCACATTCAAAGTCGTCCATTGCAGCTACTATAGTCCGGAGATATCGCTAGGCTAAATAAACAGCTGAGCTCTGTTTACAGGCTACGCTGTCAGTCAGTGTGCGGGCTGGAGTT